TGTCATTTAGTCAAAGAGTAGTGATCCGTTTGAATGGATTGACGAACAAAGCTGTGGAAAGTCTCTCTCTAGCAGCATTTAAAACCCGTTTGGACAAGCTGTAACGGCCTATAGATCTCATTTGTAGCTAAATTCATGCAGCCAAGTAGCAAGATAAGTTTCGAGGATGCTTACGGAACCTCAGATAGGCCAGCCTGGATGGGGCCTTGCGGCTCTTTGTTGGCTAAATGGCTCTATGTCTTTATGTTGCACCTTTGAAGATATTGAAACAAGCATCAGATATGACGAAATAAGCTCACTTATAAGCGTTGATGTACTTTGATGCGGAAAAAACCGCTCTAGACAACACAGTGCCTCTGTGCAGTGCTTATGCCCTTCAAAATGTCATTGTTTGATCGCGTCATCGTACCTTGCACAACATTAATTGAAAGCCAATTAACAGTCCTTATATCTGGAAATTGTGCTCTGGATCTGGATTGTGCTCTGGATCTGGATTGTGCTCTGGCTCTGGATCTATATCTGGAAATTGTGCTCACAAACGCCATACGTGAACGACGTGACAGGCGTATTTGTTTTGGCCCTGATTGCAGGATGGCAAATGTAATGGCGGGGTTTGAATGACGTCATATGGTGGTGTGGATGGATGGTGACCTTGAAATAGTGTACACGAAAAAGTCGGCAGATCTTCGCGGTCATATAGCTCAGTAACTAGAAGGTTCTAGGTCTTGAGAAGGGCAGGTCTGTGAACTGCACCGAATGGTCTTCAAAATGGCTGTTTCGGAGCAAAACCAACAGAAATGTGGAACACCCTCTTTAAAGGTCGACAACTCAGTGTAGCGAACTCACGGATGAAGCACGAGGATGAAGTTTCCTATTCAGTTGGTTGGAGGGGGCTGCGGGCTCCCCCCCCCCCCCCTCCGGATCTCTTAAACCTTGGGAGGAAAGTGGATCGATCCCGGGAAAACCCATTTGTTGGCGTTTTGAATGGAAGTTACCTCATTTTTCGCTGTCACACCCTCTTCCTTCTCCTGCAACACTCAGTTTGCGGAAGTACGCAACTGGCCAAATAACCATAGGGATTCCTTTCTCGCTGACATCAACCAGCAAATTTTGCATATGCAACGGGTCTACAAAATGAGAGAGTTTTTAGGGTGGCATAATGCTTACGCAGGTTCACTGCTGGCACAGTTGTACAACAGATACGTTCCGACGTCCCGCGCCCGCCCGGCGGACCCCGCCCATCCCCCCCCCCCCTCCCAACGTAACGCGCCGGGTATACCGGAGCCGCGCGCCGCCGTGTATGTCGTGAGAACCAGGTGCTGGTGCGAAACAGCTAAAACCTGTATTTTGGCGTTGTATTTAGGCTTTTAGATAGCAGCTTTCCTAAAAGGTCCTTTAAACATTTCCCTGGCCCCGTCTTACCCCATCGATAGCATCATGCTCCGTCCAGTCCTGTCCCGTCCGGTTCAGTCCGGTTTTGTCTGGTTTCGACTGGTTCCGTCTCGTTCCTTGTGGTCCTGTCCTGTGGCGTGCTGTTTCTTTCGACCGCGCCTGGTTCCATCTGAAGCTGTCTGATCGCGCCCGGTTACGCGTGGTTCCGTCCAGGGTCATGCGGTTCGATCCCGTCCCGTCCCATCTGGTCCCATCTGGTCTCGTCCGGTTTTATCCGTCTGGCTCCATCTCGCCTGTCCTCGCCTCGTACCCTCTGATGTGTTCTGGTCTCCTACGGTCCCGCCTGCTCCCTTCGCGTCCCATCCAATTCCATCAAGTTCGAATTGTCTTTCCACGTGGCCACAGCTTTATCCACCTCTGGTGCCAGGCGTGAAATTCTGATAACTCTTCTGTTTAAAACCATTTCGACAATGATGGCGTTCGGCGATGATGTTCTTTGACTAGTCCGTATATATTACCGTGTTGACTTCTGTCCCTTTCGACTCTTTGTCCTTCGACTTTTTTCGATTAGACTTTTTCCGTTCGGTACTTTGTGTGGGAACTGTCCAGACGTCGCTTGATATGAAGCGGTGCGGACATGGCACGGCGTCGTGTAGTTTAAGCACGATACAGTCGACAGGGTGCCGAGTGATCCTGGCACCGAACGGTGTCAGGCGGTCCAGACACGGCATGGCGTCAGGTTGTCCAGACACGCCATAGTGTCAGGCGGCCCGGACACAGCATGGTGTATGGTGGTCCGAGCACAGCATGGTGCCAGGCGGTCCGGACACGACATAGTGTCAGATTGTCGAGATACGCCATAGTGTCTGGCGTTCCGGACACAGCATGGTGCCAGGCGGTCCAGACATGGCATTGTGTCAGGTTGTCGAGACACGCCATAGTGTCTGGCGGGCCGGACACAGCATGGTGTCAGGCGGTCCAGACACTCCATAGTGTCTGGCGGTCCGGACACATCATGGTGTCAGGCAGTCCAGACACGGCGTCGTGTCAGGTTGTCGAGACACGCCATAGAGTCTGGCGGTCCGGACACAGCATGGTGCCCGGCGGGCCAGGCACAGAATGGTCTCAGGCCGTCCAGGCACGTCATGGTGCGTAGGCGCGGCGCGGGCGATGTATGGTGGTGGTTTCATCCGGCTTGTATGATGTCATACGTGACCGTGGTACGATACGTCCTGACGTAGGGAGAGGACCGAACCAAGCTTCCATTTATTACCCCTGATTGCATCGTTCGCGTTGCGGAATATTTCAAGCTGATATTGTTTTTCAACCGGGCGGCATCACTTGATCGTTCTGTGTGGGTGACCGGCTGCTCGGGAACTGTTGCTATTTGTAGATACTTTTGAGTCACTTAGTTCGCTTCGCTTCCTACCACTTCGCAGAACCAATGTTGTGGTAGCATTAAAAACGGTCAGTGGTTTGGGTGCGTATGAGCGCTGGACAGCCATCGTTTTGCCTGGCGTAAACGGCTCAGCCAGCGACACAGAAGCACACCACATGTCCTTCGGTCAGCGCATGGCCTGCGGCGGTGCTGGCCGTCTCCGTTGGCTTGAAAGCAGGCATTGTCGTTGCCCGTAAACAACGCTTGAGTCGATGTCCTAGCGTAAAGCAAATTCATGTACGTAGTCGCTATGTGATATGCTATGCTTTCATCACATATTCATTGCCTTCCCGTGTAACCATTTGAAACGTCTGCACCACAGTCATCTGGACCAACCAAGCTTATCTAAGTGATCCTGCCCGCTGAATCGGCTGGCGTCGCATAGCAACTTGGCCATCCACCATGGCGAAATGGCGCCGGCCGTCCAACACCTTCGGCACGTCATGACACCTATGCCGGCCCGCTTGATCGAACGCACCCCGAAAATAGCATTGTGGCCACCGTCTTCGCCTTGGGCGTGGAACGCCTTCCGTTTTGGCTCTTGATGCCCGTGCTCAGATGGCACCCGGTGCGTGCTGCACATCTGGAAAACATTTCATGAAACAAATGCAAATAAACAACATAAGGTCGCGGCGGTCGGGGCATCTACAGAATAGCTCCATTGTTCTGCATACCGGCGGTGACTTGGACTGAACCGGTATGGCCAGAGGTCGTCTCGGATTAAGGTGGTTGAGACTGGGCGGTCTCAGCTGGAAGCGCTATTCAGAACCGTATCGCGGATGAGGTGAGACCTGATGCGCCGCCGGTGGCAGGAGGCCAATGGTGGGATCGTGGCGGCGCCGGCTGTCGGTGGCACCACCGGCTGTCAGGCTCCCAGCTGACCGGTGCCGCCGCCTGATGTTGGGCTCCCAAGTGACCGGCGTCGCCGCCTGATGTCAGGCTCCCAGGTGACCGGCGTCGCTGCCTGATATCAGCCGCCGCCTGATGTCAGGCTCCCAGCTGACACGGGCCGCCGCCTGATGTCAGGCTCCCAGGTGACACGGGCCGCCGCCCAGTGTTGTACCAGTGGTGGGGTCGAGGTAGCGGCGCCGCCGCCTGAGGTCAGGCTCCCAGCTGACCCGGGCCGCCGCCCAGTGTTGTACCAGTGTTGTACCAGTGGTGGGGTCGAGGTAGCGGCGCCGCCGCCTGAGGTCAGGCTCCCAGCTGACCCGGGCCGCCGCCCAGTGTTGTACCAGTGTTGTACCAGTGGTGGGGTCGAGGTAGCGGCGCCGCCGCCTGAGGTCAGGCTCCCAGCTGATCCGGGCCGCCGCCCAGTTGCGTACCAGGGCATTGATTTTACCCGTCAGAAAGTTTGCAAACGTACAGCTAAAATAGCCATCGTTTCACTCCTATCACGGTCTAATTAGCTCCCTGCGACGTAGTGGGAATACCTTCGACTCTACATTAGTCTAAAAGTGTTGGCGCACATGATGCTACTCGATGTGACGATTCACCTGGTGTTTGTTTCATTGCTCTACGTTGCTTTGTTCGGGAGTTGCGGATTTTTTACCGTCCTGTAAGCGTGCTCAAGTGCTGTGCGCCGGGGCCCGACTGCGGCGGCAGGCAACTCCGTCGCAGCGGTTTGTCGCCGGCGTGTTATCTGGCTGTCAACACACACGGGCTTTTGTTGAGACGTTAAGATAACCTGCACTAGCCTGGCGCCCTGCCTTTCCGCAATGAGTCACCTGTCGGGGTGTGATCGAGAATGGGGTCATGGTTGTCTTCGGTCAAAGTACAGTCGCAGAGGTCTGGCAACGCAAGGTCAGGGTTACATTCACAGCATTAGTTTGTGTACTTTGGCAGGCCGGGAACTAGGGTTTATTTGACCCACGCGAGATCTTAACTCCTCAATTTGTAGCTGGCGGTGCTGATATGCGGGTTGTCAAATGCCTTGTACTGTACCGTTTTCGCCAGCTGTGCCGCCCGCTAGGTCTCATCATCACACGCGCCGAACCGCTCTCATCCACAGACGGTGTTCTCCCTCATCGTCAGCTCGTCGCTGCTGATCCTTTGGAGCCGGCCCATCTACGACATCTTCTTCCGGGAGCAGGTGGAGGGCGTGCGCTACGTTCGCGCCGGCGAGAGACCGGCGCTGACGCCGTCCGACCTGCGTTGAGCGACGCCGGCCACCATGGATGCGGCGCGGAGGGCGCGCGCCCGCCTGCGAGCTTACCCCCGCCTGCTGGCCGCCTGCGGCCCCGAGGGCGCCGCCTACGCCCGCTGCGTGGCGCTGAAGGACGGCGAGGCGCGGCGAGGAGAGTGCGAGCGCGAGTTCGGCGTGTTCCGCCAGTGTCTGCAGGACGCGGCGAGGCGGCAGGGCGGCCGCTACTGCGCCGCCGCCGCCGCCGACGCCGAGGCCGCCAGGAAGCCCGCAGCCGCCGGTGCCCGGTAGTGGTGTGGGCTGGTAGTCGCGAGAAGCGGTTGTAGCGAAGGTGTAGTGTGTGTGGCAGGGCGAATTGTGGTCGTGGTTAGTCGTTGAGGGACGTGTGTGCCAGGAACTGATGGTGGTAATGGTTGCACACTGAGTGGACGTGCCTGCATCTGACGTTTGAAGAGATCGCTCAGCCAATATGGACGTCACACCACGTGGCGGCCGCCTTTTTTATCCGGCTGGCGTTCATTGCGTATGGTGAATACCAGGATCGCGTCATGCTCGTGCCGTACACGGACGTGGACTACCACGTGTTCACCGATGCGGCGCAGTACGTGGCGCTCGGACAGAGTCCGTACCGACGCGCCACCTACCGCTACACGCCGCTGCTTGCTTGGACGCTGCTGCCCACCACCATCTGTCGGAGCTTCGGCAAACTTCTGTTTTCGGCGCTGGACGTGGTCGTGGGCGTGCTGATCCATCGGCTGGTGCTGCTGGAGGGGCACGGCCGGCGCGTGGCCGTGTGCTGCGCCGCCCTCTGGTGGTACAACCCGCTGCCAATCACCGTCTGCTCACGCGGCAACGCCGAGTCGCTGGTGCTGTGTTTGGTGCTGTACACGCTGTATCTTGCGCGGCGCCGCCTCCTGCTGCTGGCCGGCGCCGCGCTGGGTCTGGCCGTGCACGTCAAGCTATACCCGGCTGTGCTGGCGCCGGCGCTCTACTGGTCGCTGGCCGACGGGCCCGGCCTGCGGCGCTGGCTGCTGCCCAACGGCGCTCGCCTCCGGCTGGCCGGTGGCGCGCTGGTGACGTTCGCGGCGCTAACAACCGGCTGCTGGCTGCTCTATGGCGACGAGTTCCTGCAGGAGGCATACTTGTACCACCTGACCCGGCGTGACGTGCGGCACAACTTCTCCGTCTTCTTCTACCTGCTGTACCTGACGGACGAGCTAGGCCACTGGGCGCTGGCGCTGGTCACGTTTGTGCCGCAGGTGTTGCTGGTGCTCGCGCTGGCGGCCAAGTTCCACCGGCCGCGCCACCTGCTCTTCTGCGCCTTCTGCCAGACGTACGCCTTCGTCACGTTCAACAAGGTGTGCACGTCGCAGTACTTTCTGTGGTACCTGAGCCTGCTTCCGCCGGTGCTGCCGCGCCTGTCTGCCTCGTGGGCTGAGGGTGCGCTGCTGCTTGCGCTCTGGTATTTCGCGCAGGCGTGCTGGCTACTGCCGGCCTACCTGCTAGAGTTCGAGGGCCGCAGCGTGCACCGACTCGTCTGGGCCGAGAGCGTCGCCTTCTTCTGCGCCAACGTCGGCATCCTGGCGCGTCTGGTGCGCAAGTACGACGTCGCAGCGCCGGCGTCGCCGTCCGGTCGGGAGCCGGGGACGAAGGCGCGGCCGGCCGTCGGGCGGGACGGCTCTCCGCGGCGGGAGGGGGCAGCTCCCCTCGAGGCGGCGCGGCAGAGGAAGAGGGCGGGCCGCGCTCGCCGCCCGCCGGAGTAGGGCGTGGTGCCGCCGAAGAGCGAAGATTAGTGCGCCTCGCCTGTGGCTGGGGAGCGCGGCTATGGTGGCAGAGCGGTGGCGCCGCGTAGAGACGACCGAGGGGACAGCGCTGGCCACTAGTCAAGGCTACTTCTCGCCATGCTGGTACCCTGCAGGGGACGTGTGCCGATCGATTTGCCCCTTTCCATCTCCCACACCCATCCCCACCCCGCATAACGCGGTATGGTGTTGTGACTAGAATCGTGTTGTCGCTAAAATGGGATAGGTAAGGCTTGTCTTCCAGGTAAACTGGGAGGTCGGTGCGCATTGGCTCGTGGTCGTCCCTAGTTGTATGCCAAACGAGTGTCGGCTAATTTTCACGGCTAGGCTCCTTTAGGCTCGAGGTGTTGTCAGTCGTGTGAATGTGTCCTCCGATAGTCCATTAGTCTGTATCGTGAGCAGAATACAAGGAATGAATGCAACATTGTTTCCATTATACTCGTTAGCAATAATTCACCGCATGAATTATCGAGAAAAATATAGCGAGGCACTAAGATGAAATGGCCAGGACTTCGCAGCGCGCCAGCTCTCGGCCGCGGCCAACTCCAGAGAACCACCGGCTTCTACACGGCGCTAGGCCCGAGAGACGCGCCCTGGATCAAATGGCGTGTGGCTGCTGGGCGTCGGCGCCACGGCGGGGCCCTCAGGTCCTGCGCTGGGCCGCTGCCGCCGACGGGGGCCGGTCTGAGCCGGACGTGCTCGTCGGCACCACGGCGGGGCCCTCAGGTCCTGCGCTGAGCCGCTGCCGCCGACGGGGGTCGGTCTGAACCGGACGTGCTCGTCGGCACCACAGCGGGGCCTTCAGGTCCTGCGCTGCGCCGCTGCCGCCGACGGGGGCCGGTCTGAGCCGGACGTGCTCGTCGGCACCACGGCGGGGCCCTCAGGTCGTGAGCTGAGCCGCTGCCGCCGACGGGGGCCGGTCTGAGCCGGACGTGCTCGTCTCGCGATCAATACACGCCGGTCTATGTCTGGCACGGCGATCACGCTACCTGCCGCCGGCGCCGGGCGGCGTTCGACTCGAAGGACGCTCGGTTGCGGCTGCGGCCGCGCCACTGAGGCTGACTGTGCGGGATGAGATGGCGCTCGCAGATGCGGCGGCTTGGACGGACATCTGCGGTGCCGGAGACTCACTGATAGGCCGGCGCGTTTGTGTGACAGTGTGCGCGGCATGCACTGGGCTTCATTGAGCACGCATGCACCAGCTTCCATGCACCAACCGCTTTGTCTTGTCTCGCAAGCGCCCCGGAACATCGAGCCGCTCCTTTAGGAAAGCCGGGGTGACGACGCGTCGGGTGCGGAGGGAGAGAGGGGAGGGACAGACGGGCATCGATCGCCGCGGACCGCCGCCCGGCATAATCTGGACAGGTCACCGGAGACGGGCCAGCTCGGGGACGGCCGTCAGGGAGACCGACCTCGCGACGGTGGGCGTCAACTAGCCGGGTCGGTACGGCGGATGGCAGGCAGCGGCGGCCGCTGATGGACAGCACACAGACAGCGGCGGCCGGTGACGGAGAGCACGCAGACAGCGGCGACCGCTGACGGACGGCACACAGACAGCGGCGGCCGCTGACGGACGGCACGCAGACAGCTGTGGTCACCGACGGATGGCACGCAGACAGCGGCGGCTACCGACGGATGACACGCAGACAGCGGCGGCCGTTGCCGGACGGCACGCAGACAGCGGCGACCGCTGACGGACGGCACGCAGACAGCGGCGGCCGCCGACGGACGGTACGCAGACAGCGGCGGTCAGCGACGGATGGCACGCGGACAGCGGCGGCCGCTGACGGATGGCACGCGGACAGCGGCGGCCGATGACGGATGGCACGCAGACAGCGGCGGCCGCTGACGGACGGCGCGCAGACAGCGGCGGCCGCTGACGGACGGCGCGTAGACAGCGGCCGGCGATATGGCGTAGCCTGAAGCGTCACATGTGTTCAACTTTACCAGATTCAGAGCAAAATTGACTTTCTTCGGTGTCTCTGCTCAGCTTATGTCATGAACCTGAATGGCACCTTAGCTGGTCATGAGCTGAATAGTGTGTTAGCTTGTCATGAATTGAATGGTGTGCTGGCTGTACCAAGACAGCAAACTCTGAGCTGTTGTGTGTTGTATAAAAGCCTTGTAGCGAGCGGCAGCCACGGGTCTCCAACGGCTCCAAGAGCGTAGAGGAACCGATCGCCCAGACGTATAGCAATGCTCGTTTCAATGAATGTACTGGCACGAACTCTGTAATGCTTATGTCTTGAACTAAGTGCAAGTTTTGTCAGATTCTTGAGCTGTACGCATGGAGCATTATATGACTACTCGTTGATCAACTTGAAAATAAATCTGATTCGTCTTTTCTCGTCTCGAATGCAAATGTATTGCGGACATATCTCACATCTGTCCAGGATGTCCCCATCGTGGCAAAAGGTGCATGCAGGTAAAGTCTCATCCAAGGGCGCGCCGGCTAGACTCGCCCACCCATCCTCACCCACCCCCGCCGCATCAAGATTGCCAAAACTGTTCAAAAGTGATACACGCCTGGTCTTCGAAGATGATCCAAGCAACTCGGTTTATGTTGCTTGTATTAGAGTCCCTTTGGCCAGTTGTGACCATCTCGGGGCTAAGGAAGGCAGGAGAGTAGATACCGGTGAGGCAGAACTACGCGCACCTGGGATACATGTAGCATGCCTCCGTTCAAACGGGTGTCGTGAGGATTCAGGATGAAGCAAGAGCAAGGAAAGTAGGGGGTCCTAAGAAACTTTTACAAGGGAAAATGTTTCTTGAAGTACTCCATGGGTTAAAAAATCGAAGTCCGACGACTTTTTGAAACTGAGAATTTTTGGACATTGTCCCTCAACCCGACGTTGCCTTGCTCCCTAACGTGGTGGCGTTCTGGATCCATCCCTGAATACACCCTCAGTGATGTTCCACACGGGATTGTTTGGGTGGGAGGCCCTGAGTTCACTGGTTTCCGTGGTGCGCTTAAGTCTATACCGACTATCTGTTTAAGTCGTCTGAACCGGCTTCATCTGTCTGAACGAATTATAGATTATAGGTTTCAGTGATATTGAAAAATCCTCGATGTATGTATATTTTAGTGCCAGAACAACGTTCTTTGACAACCGTCACGTGAGTGACTTGCACGCAAGTTATTTAAATGCTGTCAGAGCTTGAATAATGGCGAACGATAACTCGACCTCCTCGACCTTACCAGCCGCACGTCGGCTACGGCTTGCCACACCGCCGTCGCCGTCCGTCAGCCTTTTGCGACGGTCGCTGCGTCGTTGAGGGCAAGGGCTTCAGGTGATCCTGTTAGCGGCGTCGGGCGGGTGACGAGGTGAGGGGCGAGCTAGGACCGCGCCCGCTCCTGCCGCGTCTGCCCACTCGTCCCGAGGCACAGCCGGGGTCAGTGGGCGCCGCCCGGTCGCGGCACGTGTTTGAGTCAGGTGAGGCGGACCGCTGGTGTTCCGGTCACAGCCAGGGTCGGTGGGCGCCGCCCGGTCGCGGTACGTGTTTGAGTCAGGTGAGGCGGACCGCTGGTGTTCCGGTCACAGCCAGGGTCGGTGGGCGCCGCCCGGCCGCGTCACGTGTTTGAGTCAGGTGAGGCGGACCGCTGGTGTTCCGGTCACAGCCAGGGTCGGTGGGCGCCGCCCGGTCGCGGCACGTGTTTGAGTCAGGTGAGGCGGACCGCTGGTGTTCCGGTCACAGCCAGAGTCGGAGGGCGCCGCCCGGTCGCGGCACGTGTTTGGGTCAGGTGAGGCGGACCGCTGGTCGCTGGTGTTCCGGTCACAGCCAGGGTCGGTGGGTGCCGCCCGGTCGCGGCACGTGTTTGAGTCAGGTGAGGCGGACCGCTGGTGTTCCGGTCACAGCCAGGGTCGGTGGGTACCGCCCGGTCGCGGCACGTGTTTGAGTCAGGTGAGGCGGACCGCTGGTGTTCCGGTCACAGCCAGGGTCGGTGGGCGCCGCCCGGTCGCGGCACGTGTTTGAGTCAGGTGAGGCGGACCGCTGGTGTTCCGGTCACAGCCAGGGTCGGTGGGCGCCGCCCGGTCGCGGCACGTGTTTGAGTCAGGTGAGGCGGACCGCTGGTGTTCCGGTCACAGCCAGGGTCGGTGGGTACCGCCCAGTCGCGGCACGTGCTTGAGTCAGGTGAGGCGGACCGCTGGTGTTCCGGCCAGCCGTTAGAGACCGGCCGCCGGAGTGGGCCGTCGCGCTGCCGTCTGGTGCGCCCTCAGTGGTGTGCGCGGCGGCAGCTATACCTATGTGTGGTATTTGCATTGTCCTGATGAAGTAGGCTGTCGCTAGATTTTCACGTATCTAGATATTTCACGTTAAAAATAAGCCTCATTTCCAACTAAAGTTTCCTCAATAATTCTTTCAGAGTTCCATTGTCAACGTTCAGCCAGAAGAACAATGGCGATGCCTCCCTTGACCTATAAATAGCAGCCTTTTCATTCTGCCTTTTTATGCTGAGCTAACACGTGTCGTACGCTTCTATTTACCATATTCTATTATCCCCCATATCACCGCATATGGATAGCGCGTTTAATGTGCTTCATCTCGTTTCCACCCATTGTCTGCTTTACAATAACTGGACGGTGCGTTTTCAAGGCTCGATGGGCACTAACAAAGTCGTCTCGATGACAGACATAACGCAGCTCAGGGGTGGTGGGATAGGGACAGGATATAGAAGACAGGATATAGGGACAACGGTAAAGTCAGGCCTACCCTGACCTCTGTCGATGGAGACCAGCCCTTCTAAGACGTGCTCTAAGTTCCTTACTCGATATCTGTATGTTCGATATCGTTCACCAATATATGTTTTCCCGATATCTGTTCATTTATTGTAGCCTGGTTATCTATAACAAATAAACTAAAAGCTGTTGACGATGAGCAAATGACCTCAGCCAACGTAGAGGAATCGGGGCTATGCAAACGCATATCGCGATATTTTTATGATATTTCTGCAGGCGTTGTAGGAATTTTGCATAGCTTATCCTTAGCTGAACTCTGGGTGGCGGCTATGTGGTTATGTCTTTATTTCCGTAGTGTTAGTGTTTTAGCGTAACGGTTCTTACCGAAGACAAAGTACGACAGCTACAACATTTTAATCGCTCAGGATTGTTGAGCTGAAAACCTGTGCTTGCGGCCACACACCCCGCTCGTCCTACACTAAGTAATTGGAGAAGTTTCATGTTGGCCCAGTATTTTATAAAGCGGCGGCGCTATCACCCAACGAGCGTCGTTGCCAAATGATCATTTACATATTTCTGATATGTAATCCTGGATGTTAAAACCGTTATGACCGTGAAGAAGGAATAGAGATATCCTTTCTGTAAATTTTGATTTTATGACTTGTTATACTTAATAGCCCTTTTCACGCTCTTGGTGTGCAACTGAGAAGTTGCTTTCGTATGTCCGCATGTAAAAATAAACTTCATTATAAACCAAAAGTGTAATGAACTGAGCCCAGCAATGCATTTGTTTATGGACTGTTTTCGACTTTTCCAAATTAGAATGCACGAGACTTTAGGAAGTCATGATCAGGGCATCATCGAACGTTTAATTGCAACCAAAAGCAGCTGTGTATCCAGTATGAGAACACATCTCGCTTAGGGCTGCTAATAGCTACTCAAACATAATTATGGGTATTGCGGCAATCATGATTCGTTCGTCGGATCTTCGGACGTCTGATGATGTTTTTCTTTCTTTCTTTTGTTTGCTATTGTCCGCGCTGTTTGCTGCTTATTGACATTTATCTGCAAATGATCAAACTCATAAATGCTGAATGGGCTACAATGCAGACGAATCGCGCCCGTCCATCGATTCAAAAGGGTGCAGAGCAATTGAATGTTGGAAATTGAAAGATAAATCCAAACCGGGTTGAAACCGCTCGACATCCTGGCGTGACGATGGCCTAAAACGATAGCCTCGTGCACTGCACGTGCATCTTTGGCACTTCGGCATTGAATGGAGCATGACTGGATGTCTTGTATGCATATCTCTGTGCGACAAATTTAGAGTCTCTGAGCTATGGCCTCCGTGATTCGGAGAACCACAAGACCGGCATCATGTACGCGAACGCAGCTCATATCTTGGCACTGATCACCTTAATCTTGTTATGCGTAGGTGGCGTTCGTGCCAAAGGAGCTGTGCGTTAAGTTAGGAGACTAACTGTTGATGCCGCCAATTCAAACTCCCCAAATTGTAAAGGGGTGCACAGGATCGCAAGCATTCCGTATGCCAAAGGTCGAAACTGCTGGGTTACAACAAGGGCTGCTCACTCCAAATTGTGCTGTCCTTGCAGCTGCTGTACGATGGCAACAGAGTGGTGCCAATTTCGGTTATGCTGCATGTGCGAGGTACAATCCCTTACCGGGTGGACTCGATCGAAGTATCTCACCCAGTCACCCATCTATCTTGAACTCCATCACCGCTCAGAATATGCTGTCCGAGCCTCTGCAATGGAGTCTCAAGGAAAGAGAATTGTATCTCTGCGCATGCGCACTGCACCAGCATCTTGGCACGGAACACGCCAAGGTGGATACCGTTTGATGGTCCCAGGAATGGAATGCATCATCATGACCTCTGGAGGTCATTATCTATTGCATCGCTTTGAACGTGATGAAAACGTAAGATTTTGGCTGTATCAACGATTGGTATGAGCTATATCGAATATTAATGGAAATGCAAGACAGCGTGACCTCTGGATGTTGCAACATGGCCTCGGGTCGTACGGAAAGCGTTGGCCTCCAGACTATTTTTGTTTCAGGTAACGATAAACGTCCATACACACAATGCCTATGCACACAATGATGGCCAATCGTACACTTCTGGACTCGTCATACAAAGACGAATAAAATCATATTTAGGGCAACACAACTTCGTAAATAGTTCGATTTCACCTTTCGAAGACCTCTAAGTGCTAGGCATCTAAATACATGGCAAACTCCGTTCAGATGGCTTTTTGAGATGTCATTGCCGAGCTGTGCGTCACGTTTGGGCGAAATCGAAGGGGTGCCGATTTCTGCCGAACGTAACGGTCAAAGCTTACGGTGGTTTGCAGGAGAAGGGGGTCGACAAGCTCCAAATGCATCCGCAACATTTGAATAACTCCAAACTCCAAAGGAAAGTGCATGGCCAGAAATAATTATAGCAAATCAGAACTCGGTGTCGGCTGAGGTCGGTTGACTACAAATCATGATAAAATCAGTGTCACCTCTAGGTCTAGAAGCAGCAAGCAGCAAAGGGCGGTGAAAGCCAACAATAGCAAGACAAGGATATGGTAAAGCATCACCCCCAAAGTTCTGTTGGATGACGTCTTCGCCTGTCATGCCCTAGCCAAAAGCCACTTAAATGACTGCTCTGATACATCTGGATTTACGAAGGTCAAGATACGCTGGAAATCCTCGATGGCGGCGTGCGGTGCCAAGCTTTTCAGACCAGCGCCAACTGTGTGTCTAACTTCGTGCCGGCGACAAAATGGCCCGTGTTGTCGACTTCCCCGCCCGCCGGTATCATGTGTTATCGGCTTCCTCCGTCCACCGGTATCACGTGTTATCAGCTTCCTCCGCTCGCCGGCATCACGTGCTTTGGTTTCCTCCGCCCGCTGATATCACGTGTTGGCGGCTTCCTCCGCTCGCCGGTGTCACGTGTTTTGGCTTTCTCCGCCCGCTGGTATCATGTGTTAGCGGCTTCCCCCGCCCGCTGGTATCACGTGTTAGCGGCTTCCCCCGCCGGCTGGTCCGTGTAGGAGCTAACCCCCGGACTATCCCTGCATCTCGGCCGGCATCAGAGCGATTTAGTTCTCTCCATGCTGCCGCCAGTCGTGCGTCGCGACCAGAGCTTGCCACTCTCGTGAACATCGCCACGCCCACCCTCTTCCCACAGGCTTCCATCCTGCGGTGCCAGTGGCGCGTCACGACCAGAGCCTGCCACTCACGTCAATAGCCACATCTCCCGCAGTCTTCCCAAAGACTCGCCTCCGGCAGCACCTGCGTCGCGTCACCACCGGTGCTGTGCGTCTGCTACCATGCTGAAGATCCTAGAGGAGGCCAACAAGGAGGCGCTGGCCACCTTCCTCTGGCCACCCGGCTACAGCGCCGGCTTGGTCCGGGCCGCCTCGCCGCCGCTCGAGCTCACCCTCTCACCGCCGGAGACCCCGCAGCTCACTCTCTCACCGCCGGAGAGTCCGCAGCACGCGCCATGCCTGAGCCGGACGCCAGGTGGCTCGCCGGCGGCGCGTCGGCCCAGTCTGCGTCCGACGGGGTGCCGGCGAGCCGACCGCCGCCGCTCCAGCGTCCAGCTCGAGCTGCTGATGGTGTTCGGCGGTGCCGAGGCGACGGCCGTGCCGCCGGTGCTCGACGCACCTGGCTGCTACCCCAACTGTGACCTGTCCGTGTGGATGCGCTCTTGCGATAAGGAGCAGCTCGAGCCCCTGCACGGCACTGTGACAGGTCAGAGGCCCCGCACGACATCATGGGAGGTCAGGGACCCTGCACGGCACTGTGACAACACATGAATGCTGCATTACGTCGTTCGTGATGGGGGAGGGGGGGGGGGGCACATAATATAATCATTATGCTTGCGTGGTCATTCATTGGTCATTGCTGTTATGTGAAACATTGATGACTCGATTGCCACATTGCACATACAGGTGTGTTGAGGATAAAACATCCGAGAAAATAACTGAATGTTGAATTATTCCCACTTCGTAAACCTCACACCCATCCTTCATAAAGACGACTCAATTAGAGCTAGTTGCTGCTGAGACTGGCCTCAGTTTGGCCACGGCCCTGAGAGCGGCGCCTTGACCGGCGCTGCGTCAGCTGACCAAAACAAGGTCAGCTGAGCGGCCACCGTCGGGTCAATATCAGAGCAGCGGCCCCGCAGCCGGCTGTCGGCGGCGGCGTGTGGGGACACATCATCGCTGAGCGGCCTCGGCTCTGGGGAGAATCGTCACTAATGATCCCTGCTTCGGGGAGCTCGTCACTGATGATCACTGCTCCGGGGGGTTCGTCGCTGATGGTCATTGCTCCGGGGGGTTCGTCGCTGATTATCATTGCTACGGGGGAGCTCGTCACTGATGATCATTGCTCCGGGGGGTTCGTCGCTGATGATCATTGCTCCGGGGGGTTCGTCGCTGATGATCATTGCTACGGGGGGTTCGTCGCTGATGATTATTGCTCCGGGGAGCATCGCCGTCGCATCGCTGTTACATCGCACGGCAACGCTCCACGCTGACGACAGCTGTTTTCTCGAGAATATTGACAGTAACTGCCCTCCAATGTATACACTCTCTACTTTGTTCGACCAGTACTGATGCATGCCGACTTGCGCATGTCGATGTTGAGGGACGCGTGCCACTGGCTGGCCTTGCCACCGACGTGCTCGATGTCTGCAGGAACGATTCCGTCCTGGATTCGGGGATCGCTGCTTCGCAATGGCCCCGGGCGTCTCAACGTCGGAGATGACGAGTTCAAACACCTGTTCGACGCGTCAGCTCTGCTGCACCGGTCAGCTCGGTAGATCCGATGCAGCGCGTTTGGATTTGGGCTCCAAGCACTGGAGCTGCTGGTCAAGAGCCTGTTTTTACTCTTATATGACATCTGTAAATTGTTTGCATATCACCAGAATATTTTCACGTCATGAGTCATGCGTTCTTGCAGCATAATTTAACTATTACGTATATCCAGTGAAGTATTTCCCCATATGATTAGAGTACATAGTGCTATCACTGAAGTACTATGTCACGCCAGAAAAAGGTACGCTTACAGTACCCACTGCTGTCTTCTGTTAACCACACCGGTGTCGGCAGCTTCCACATCTCCAACGGCACCGTGACGTACCAGAACCGTTTCCTGAAGTCGCGCACCTATGAACGAAACACGGCGGCGCGACGGATCGTTGTCTCCGAGTTCGGCACTCTGGCGGCCGTGCCCGACCCCTGCCAGACCATCTTCCAGAGGTCAGGTCAAAGCCGGGGCTACACCATCCTCCAGAAGTCGGGTCAAAACTTGGGCCAGGACACCGTTCCTGACCAGGTTAGGCCCTCAGTTGGAGTGTCTCTCAGGGGCGTGATCTCACACCAGCCCGATTACCGCGTGATCCCTGAGCAGACTACCGCACCGCCCCGGAGCAGACTACGGCGTGATCCCGGAGTAGACTGCGGCGTGATCCCGGGGCAGACTTCGGCGTGGTCCCGGGCAGACTACCGCGTGATCCCGGAGCAGACTACCGCGTGATCCCGGAGCAGACTACCGCGTGATCCCGGAGCAGACTTCGGCGTGATCCCGGAGCAGACTACCGCGTGATCCCGGGGCAGACTACCGCGCGGTCCCGGGCAGACCATCGCACACTGACCCCAGGCTGCGCTACTGCACAGTTGTCAGAGTTGTGCCAGGTTATCATGCCAGTCGACGCTGAAGCGGTTCGGGACCTGCCCCCAACCCCATATTTAGCGTTGCATGCTTCTGAGCTCAGTGGCAAGTAACCCATGGATGCCGCGACCGGAAAATATAGATTATCTCAAGGTGACATGGGCGCGACAAGTAAACATCTGCTGTCTTCTGGGGACCAGGGCAGTGGACCACCGGTTTACTGGAGCGGGGATATCGCGCTGATAACTTTTACGGTGGTCTATGGGCGGCCGCCTGGTGATCCGGCAAGTATGGAACGCGGTTAACCGTCGGCGACACTTCCACAGGGTCTGCAGCATGTTCAGCACAGACGAGATGATGACGGACAACGCCATGATCAGCATATACCCGTACGGCGATGAGCTCTACGCCCTCACCGAGACGCCCTATCTGTTCCGTATAGATCCGGAGACTCTGGAAACAAAACAACGCGTAAGAACGCGCGTGCGTAGTCGCGCAAACAATTTAACGTGTTCTCACTTTAGTTGTTGTAAAATAAACTTGTGAACACTTGTGAAGGTACGTTTTATGCCGTGCGGGCATGTTTCTGTGGCATTGCAACAAATTGGCGTTCTGATTTGTAGCAATTATTGTTGGATTTATTTCTTTGGGATGTTGCTTCAGATTTTTTTGGGGGGGAGGGGTTGTCGCATCTAACGCTGGACAAAACATGTTGGGTCTCAAAACTATGCTTTGAGCTCAAAATATGATGTTCTGTTCTCCTTGACGTTGCTGGTGAGCGGCCTATTCAAATCATGGTTCGAGTCAAAATACAAGTTTGTAATGACTTATGGAATGTATCCATGAGTAACTTTCAACACAACTCGAATTTGTCACCGCGGTGGATGCCTTGAGCTATATGAGCTCGTGTTTCCAGTTGTTTGCTGACGCCTTGGATCCTGTTGGCTGTTGTTTTCAGCCTTGCAGTTCGACGTTGCTGTCACGAATGTCACGAATGCCACGGATGTCACGGATGCCACGACTGTCACGAATGCTTGTGATTCCGTCACGGCGGCTGCCGTTTTCCACGGCCGCAGGTGAATCTGATGAAGCACGCGCAAATAGTGAACCACTCTGCGCATCCTCACGTCTGCCCAGACGGGACGGTGTATAACCTGGGCCAGAGTGTCGGCCTCACCGGGCCCACCTACTGCATCGTCAAGTTCCCGCCGCGCGACGAGACGGGTGGGTCTCCACAGCGGCCGTGTCTCCACAGCGGGGTCAGGTTCGGGAGTGCAACGCTGCCGTAGTGTCGCAGGTTTCTTTGTCGCAGGTCAGGTATCTTCACACTGACCCAGCCGGATCACAACGGTGAGGATTTTATGAAAATTACGGAGCACCTTGCAAACGGCAAGCACAGCAAACGTTCCACGATGATTTCGAATCTGAAGGCTCAAAAGCGGAAAAATAATGTCAGTTCCACCCACGCTGACATGAAATGTGGTAATTGCCTTTCGTCCAGTCAGGCGCGTATCGTTGGGACGCACCCCACGTCCGAGCTGCGCGAGACTATGCACTGCTCCGGTGTCGGCAGGCCCGGAGAGCTGCTTCGAACGCGCGGAGCTGGTGGCCTCGGTCGGCGCTCGCTGGAGCCTGCACCCCTCCTACATGCACAGCTTCAGCGTCACCGAGCGGTACTTTGTGCTGATCGAGCAGCCGTTGACCGTCAGCACCGTGGAGATCTGCAAGACGCTGCTGCAGCAGCAGCCTCTGGTGTCGGCGCTCCGCTGGTTCGACGAGCCGGTGGGGATTGATCGGCATCCCATCCCCAGTTGTAACGCACTTCGGCCGCGGTGGCGTCGCTGGCCTGTGGGCAGCCGATGCGGTACGGACGCAGCCTCCAGCCTTCCTCGGAGTTGCATTCTATGGAAAGTTTGGCGCTGTTTGGAGCCTCTCCGTATCCTTGCCCCAAGGTATCCAACAGCTCTGGCGAGCTTTGGCGAGCTGGTACCCAAGCGAGGTTGATAGTTAGGTTTAAACAAGGTGGCAGTGCCTATTCATCGGATCAGTCTCGTGTAAGGAAGCATTGGCCATTCATTTTCGATCGATTCTTTGCATTAACATGTTGATGATGCGGTGTATCACACACCGAGTTCATGCTCGGCTGTCGCTTCATGTACATGAGTTCACGCTATAGTCGCAGGAACAGATGCAGGGTCGTGTTAACAATTCTCATTTCCGGGTTTACAGACTCGGTTTATCGTGATAGATCGCAACACGAACACTGCGACGAACATAGCTTACCAGACGAGCCCTCTGTTCTTCCTGCACACAATCAACGCTTACGAAGAGGACTGTCATCTCATAGTCGATCTGTGCGCCTACAAGGACGCCGAAATGCTTGACTGCATGTATGTCGAGGCACTCAAGGTGAGGTGATTTTGATCACCCTGAACATATTTTCCTGTTCGTCACCGTCTACACGTGCGAAAGTAGAACTGCTGCGATTGAGAAACGAAGTTGGTATGCAATAGGGTCGTTAAAATAGATTACAAAACACCGTCAAGATTCGCTAGAATGCGTGGACGAAACGTCTGAAAACACGGATTAGAATGGAAGACTTGAGAAATATCAAGTTCTTGGGACGCGAGAGTGTCTTATTAAATGGGGTATATATATATATATATATATATATATATATATATATATATATATATATATATATATATGGCAGGGTATTTATTCATAGGGTAGGGTTCATACCTGCGACGTAGCTAGCGGCGACATTCTTCGCAGGTATCCACGCATCAAAAGTTGCGTTGATCTAGTCTTCAACTTCCAACACACCCTCCAACGGCGTCCGGCGCGCGCGGGCGCACTAACCTCGCTCCCCTGTCGCAGTCGGCACAGGCCAACCCCCACTACGCCGACATGTTCCGGGGCAGGCCGACGCGGTTCGTATTGCCGCTGGAGCCGGGAGAGGGCGACGCCGACCTGGTGACCCTACGTGGCACGGCGGCCTCCGCCCGTCGCTTGCCCGGCGGCACGGTCCAGCTGACCCCAGAGCTGCTGTGTGACCTCGGCTCGGAGACGCCCCGCATCCACTACGACCGCGTCAACGGCAAGAAGTATCGCTTCTTCTACGCCATCTCGTCCGACGTCGACGGAGACAATCCGGGGAAGGTGAATGTTCAATGTCATTGTGGTCAGAACGATGGGTGTCTTTCTGGTCAGAACGATGGGTGTCCTTCTGGTCAGTACATTGGTCTTCTGCGACGAGTTCGTCATTGACTGCATTGACTTTCCCTGTTCACTATCCTCACTTTGAGCACAGCACAGCATTCAGCACTAAAGGTAGCACTGCCCTCAGTGCTGAATGCTTGCTGCGACGTTATCTGAGGAGCAGCGGCCGATGCCCGTTGCTAGTGAGCCATGAAGGGCTTGCGAAGCTTTGACGAATGGCTCGAGAAGTTTTGTTTGAATGAGCGAACAGACCCAACCTGACCCGACCGACCCAACGCAGCACCGGTGGCTGGTTTGCATTTTTGCAATGTATTGGCATTGAAGAATGTTGCCCTGACCACAACCCAATGGCTAAAAAGTTTAAGCCGTGTATGAAGCTGTTTTAGCTTATACAAGTGTTTGTTCGTTTGCTTCGCTGCGCCAACGAAAAAGGCAGAAATATTAAGTATCGATCTTTTCCAGTTTAAATCACGGTTCTGGGTGCTCTGGTTGCCGAGAAGTGGCGCAAAATGTGAAAAATGACCGGTGACGGCCAAATCTATCTTGCTGCCTCGTGCACATGCAACACGCAGTACATGCAGCATGACAATGCATGCAACGTGATTGCCCGTTCGATTCCTATCAATGCATGTGCCTCCCCGGTGGCTCCATGCCCTGGGTGCTGCGATGTGTCACAAAACTTTAAAACCTGTCAAAAATACGAAATTCGATCTTTCCGGGGCGACACGTAACCCGTGCATACATACACGTGTAAACACACGCCAGGGCATTTCATTCCCTATCGCGGCATGGCTGTCTCGTGTAACTACACCCTCTCAGTGTGGAGATGTGGTGTAAAACGTAAGAACCGACAAAAGCAGCAAAGTGGATATTCCCAGCTAGTGTGGACGTGGGACGCGCCACGTGCGATATCACATCTTACATCACGTGATTGCCCGTTAGATTGCCCATCGAAGCATAACACTCTCGAGTCGCTGTGTACCCTGGGTTCCGCGATATCGCAAAAAGTGTAGACACTTCAAAAACAGCAAAATTAATGTTCCAACACGAGGACACCACGACACGTAGCACGTGTGACCAATCACTGCCATTTTACTCCTTCCACTCCTTATTGAAGCGTGCCACTCCGGTGTGTCCGTTTCCCGGGTGCCGAGATTTGTACGTGTAAAACCTTGGATGAGAGTTAACCCATTAACCGAAGAGAGGAAGAATGAACCCATTAATCTATCTTTGATCGCGTGCTGCGTGATACGTGCGACCATAGATCTTCGCATGGCACATCTTTCCGTGCCACTCCCGGGCTGCTCCGACTCGCCGTTGTCAAAATATCGGTGCGAGATGGCGTAATTGGTCGGAGGCAATTAATTATGGCAGCCAATCACTTGATCAAACGGCTGTTTAACCTGGAAGCAACCTCTGGCGTCGGCCGAGACACCGGACAGTGTCGTTCCGTCACGAAGTAAAAGGCCGCCGTGCAGCCCATTAATCTAGGCTCATTTCGAAGCAAACTATTGTGAAAATATGATCAAGAAAAGGGTGGTGTGTAAAGAATGAATCGGCCAACACGCTTACATAGTTTTCAACGCTAAGTGATAAATAGTTTTGATGGTAGTTGCTTGTATTCGGCGGCGATTTTAAAAACTTGGTCGCTTGCAACTTGTATTACAATTGGCAGCGCAAATGTGTGCTGCACAAACTGGAGATGCGCACCGAAAGTGTAGCCGCTTCAATTGTGAATGTTGGGAATCAAAATTCACGCCTGTATGCGCACTGGGTGTCGTGATGTGACTCAAAACGTACAAATCTGTCAAAAGCGGCGATTTAGTCTTTTCACCTCGTGTACACGTGCAACGTACCACGTGGCGCCACAAACTTACCACATTGCGATGATCCATTCCACTATCTGGCTGTGCAAATTTCATAACGCTGCGACTCTTGGCCGAGATATGGCTCCGGGAAACGAACTTATCGGGCCGTCGGCCGGCCGTGACGAAATTGGCATTGCCCGTGTTAAACCTAAATATATTTTTGCGGCGCGTCCTATTTTCGTTCACCACGCGCTCATGTTTGCGAAATACACAGTTTTGACGCGACTCAGACACGCTCTGCCAGCAGGCCTCGGCCGTGTGAAAATGTCATTTAAAAATTCCCACCGTTTAGCTTCCAGATGATCCCAATGAAATGGCGGACACACACACACACACACACACACACACACACACACACACACACACACACCACACACACACACACACATACACACACGCGGACACACACACACACACACACACACACACACACACACACACACACACACACACACACACACACACACGCGCGCACACACACACACACACACATCGTTTCTTTAGTATAATAGTAGGGGCAGGTAGATAGTGTTTTTTCGTGCCCAAACAGCTTCCGTGCAACATTGCACGGCAAAATTTGTCCATCGTTGCTATGTTCAACTTGAACTGGTGTTTTAAGCTAACTCGGGTAAGAACCTCCGTGAGAAAGAAGTCTTTAAAGATAGTGATGTATCGCTGCTCAGACACCGCTGCTGATTAATATATTGCGCGCTGTGTGGGTATAGGTACAAAGGCACTGATGTACGGTTGCTTAGCTCTATACGCTCGCTACGGAGCCATTCAAACGGTCACAATGAAATAACTCTTGCATCACAGTGGTCCGTTTGTTACTCTAACTTTGTTCGGCGCACGGTGGACCCTGCATTCCTCCACACGTCTCGCCCGCTATGCATCCCGAAATGGCCTTGTGGTTTCTAACCACCGTGTCGTTGCAGCTGATTAAGGTGGACACGGTGACCCATCAGGCCTTGACCTGGTGTGAAGAGGACGTGTATCCATGCGAGCCCATCTTCGTCCCAACCCCCGACGCTGTGGTGAGAAAGTTTTTAACAGAGGACGACAGCCAAACTTAAACGCAAATTTGCCCAGTCGCCGTGATCTATTTATGTGGCTTTTTGCCTTTAAACGTCGCACATAGGTGTTTTTGAACACGGTGCTTTGTAGAAATTTGGTGCCCAGCTTCGCAACAGCTGAGCATTATATATCGGGCCTGGAGTATGGTCAGTGCAAATGCATATAGGCATAACTGCAGCCATAATTATAACTTCTCTCGTAACGGAAGTGTAACAAGGGAGGGTGGAAAAGATTTCGGACAACGAAAAGTTACGCAAAGTTGGGGTTGCAAATAATTATCGAGGTTTCCAAAAAGAAAAACCTTAAGGCTGTATGACATTGGCTTTCCCTGGCGACAAAAGAACGCGTCCGTGATTTGTTCCGCATCTCTGGCACAATTGGAGGCCAAAATAATGCTCCCTTTTGGGAAGTTGTGCTCAATGCAACGTAAACAGGGGAAGGGTGTCTCATCCAGCGTAACCAGTACGTGGTCAGAGGACAGAAAGGATTGAAGGATGACCGAAACTGTATAACGTGATTTGCGGATGACATCTTTGTAGAAACAACTCGGGACTTGGTATAGAATATCCGGTTTGTTTTGATCAAGTGGCCAGATGTGGGCCTTCTGCTGGCTAGCTGTACAAGTGCTACGCTAGGTTACTGAGGCTACAGATTGGCTGCTGCCATGTGATCACATGACACTGATCGGCTGCTGCCGTGTGACCACATGGCAGCAGCTGCCGTCGGACGCGATCACGTGATCACACGACACAGATCGGCTACTGCCTGGACTGTGCAGAAGCTCGGACGTGCGTAGTGTACCGCAGACGCGCCCGTCTGCTACGCATTCCCAAACGTGACGCCGTGTTACGCTGCGTGTGAGAGCGACACGTAGCGCCGTTTTCAGGGGACAGATGGCTGGTACCGCCGTTCTCAGTTTGGGCGTGACGATAACCTAGACTTGATGTTTTTTAGGGGGGCTGGATTGACAATATTTTTGTAAAACGAAGGGATAATGTTATCGTTAGTAGGAGAATGATAGGTTCTCAGATCCTGAGAATGATGTCCTCCTGTTGTCCTCAGGAAGAGGATGGTGTGCTGTCGTCCTCAGTATGTTGATAAACAGACTAGCGCTGTCTTCAAAATGATCATGTCGGGATATTGCTGTGCTCGAGATAGATAGGACGGGGTGCTCTTGCGCTCTGCAAGATAACGGGGCGTCACTTAAGAGTGGTGGGGTGTCAGTGCCTTCTGGAGATGATGGGGTGTCACTGCCCTCTGAAGATGACGAGGTGTCACTGCGCTCAGGAGGATGATGTCGTGCCGCAGCGCTCAGGAGGATGATGGCGTGTCACTACCCTCTGGATGATGATGGCGTGCCGCTGCTCTCAGGAGATGATGGCGTGTCACTACCCTCTGGATGATGATGGCGTGCCGCTGCTCTCTGGAGATGATGGCGTGTCACTACCCTCTGGATGATGATGGCGTGCCGCTGCTCTCAGGAGATGATGGCGTGTCACTACCCTCTGGATGATGATGGCGTGTCACTACCCTCTGGAGATGATAGCGTGTCACTGCCATCTGGAGATGGCGGCGTGTCACTGCCATCTGGCGATGATGGCGTGTTACCGCCCTTTGGAGGGCGAGGGGCGTCACTGTCACTGGAGGATGATTGGGTGTTGTTATCCCCAGGATGAAGACGACGGGGTGCTGCTCTCGGCGCTGCTGTGGGCTCGGGGCCGGGACAGACAGGTGGCGCTCCTGGTGTTGGATGCCCGAACTATGCAAGAGCTCGGACGTGCGCAGTTCACCGCAGACGCGCCCGTACCCAAGTGCCTGCACGGCTGGTTCAAGGAGGACAGACTGACAGACGCGACCTAAGACGGGTTGAGCTGGGCTGCGCGCTCTGCTGACTGCGCACGATTAACCTATATCCTATCCGTGGCAACAACAGGATTAAACTGAAGACCTCTGGCAAGCATTGCAAGGTTTCGCCGGGTTTCGTGAGGGCTTGTCAGCGGAGGGCAGGTCTTCACGAGCTCGCATATGAAACTCTGGGTCACAAATCAGGCAGATCAACCGACGCCACCACGAGAAGAGTCTGCTGTTACGCTAGTCTCTTGTGAGAAGCTGAAGTTAGGTGTCTGTGTATCTTCTGCGTTTTAACTTTAGTATTTTTGCATGTGCGCCATGGCATAGCGCTCGGCACGCTGGGCGCTTGGTTGGCGAACTGGGCGCTCTGTTGGAATACTGAGCGCTTAGTGGGCATACTGGGTGCTCGGTCGGTATACTGGGCGTTCGGTCGGCATACTGGACGCTCGGTCGGCATACTGGACGCTACTGGGCGCTTGGTCTGCGTTCTGGGTACTCGGTCGGCATACTGGACGCTACTAGGCGCTTGGTCGGCGTACTGGATGCTCGGTCGGCATACTGGGCGCCTGCTCGCACTGTGCGCCTGGTCATGCCGAGCGCTTCATCGTTTCTCCATTATCATAAAGCCCTGGGGCTATCATATACGTTCCGGAATCCGCGCTTCGTTTTTAAAACGTAAGGTTTCGGCAGTGCGTTCTACCTGTGCTCGTGTTCTTTTTTATACGGGCATACAATAGTTTTGGGATTATGGCGATTTCTCTAGCTTCCACATCTGTTTCTAAACTGCGCGATCTGTACATGTTTGTAAATATACCCCATGATAATCAGCCTCGATACGTTTTGTCGTTCCTGACATGAAAAAACTTAGCAGTAGCAGATTGTCAACATGAAACAGCGTTCAGCGTAAAAACATTTTATTTCGATAACATATGAAGGGCACGTTCGGGTGGGCCGGTACGGACCGACCCCGAGTATTGGTCCCGGTCTCTGACGGGCAGCCAGCGGCTGGCGCGGGCGTGCCGGCGTCCGCCAGCTGCCCGCGGCCGCCACCGAGGACGCTGCGGCCGCCACCGCCGCCGGTGGAGCCGCACGCCTAAAATAGCCCCCTCATCGGCCCGCTGCCGTCAGCGATATAAAATGTTCAAAAACGACGACGTACACGGACATGCGATAATGGTACGATGGCTTGCATGTGCCAGCGGTGTCTTCGGCGAGGGATGGCACGTGACAGTCTGAAACCTCTACTCGGCGGCACGAAGACGTCAATTGTCATTTCGATGTCGGTGAACGCGTGGCAAACGAACCAAGACCATTGCGCCCTATCACAATTGATCGTCCTACCAAGGCATCAAGACACAGCGTACGTGGAAGGCACATTCGTCGACATCTCTCAATAGCTCCATAAAAACAATGTCGTTGAATCATATTGCGGTGATAAATCTCGTAACTTTACAAACAGACGGATGTGGCGTCGCACCGCTCGCACCGCCAGCAATGACTTGGCACATGCCGGCCGGCAGCCGCCGGCGGCTGGGCGCGGCGGCGCGTCACACTGTCGTCTCGTTGCGGCGTGACGGGGCCGGCTTTATCCGGTCCAAGTCGTTGTAGTAGTCGTGCGGGGGCTGGTCGGCGGCGCGCGGCACGCCCGGCCGCCGCGGCGCCGCCCCCTGCACGGGCACGCCGACCGCGTTGGGCGACGAGGCACCGCCGCCCGAGAAAGTCCCGCTGGTCGGCGCGCTGCCACCACCCGTGTATGCCACGCTTGGCGGCGCGCTGAGAGCGCCGGGGTAGGCCGCGCCGGGCGCCGCGCCGCCCAGCGCGTACCCGCCGCCGGGCGCCGCCGGCGGCGGCGGCGCGGGATAGCCGACCGGCGGGCTGCCGCGGAAGCCGCCGAAGCTGGCGGGGCCGGAGCCGGAGCGACCGGCGGCGGCGGCAGGGGCAGCGGCGGTGGCAGGCCTCCGGCCGGTCACACCGCCGCCGCCGCCGCTTCCGTGCCGACCTCCCACACTTCGGCCACTCTGGCGGGACGAAAGGCTGGCTGGGTCGCCGCCGCCGCCGCCGCCGCCGCCGGCCAGACAGCCGTGCAGGGCGGCTTGCTGCGCCATCATGTGGTACTCCGGGTTGTCCATGCTGAGCATGAACTGCGCGTCCGGCTGGCCTTCGGGCTGCTGCGAGCTGGGGCCGCTGTCTGTGAACGGGCAGGCGCAGGCTCAGCCGCCGGACCGCCGGACGCCAGACGGCCGAGCGAGCTGCACATGAGGTCAGCTACGCCGTCGCAGCGAACACGGCCGCTGTCACAGAGACAGCTCGAATGGGTGTCAACGCGACGGGCGAAGGCTTCCAGGGTAAACTGCTGAGGAGACGGACGCAGTTTGCCATCCTGCGCTTTCGCACGGAGCCAGCACCCTGCCCGGGAAAGACACGGCATCCGTATCCGTTCTCGACACAACGAGGAAGCGGGCAATCCGTCCGTCTAACCTCCATCAGGACCAGGACGACTCATAGTGACAGGGCACCACGTGCTCACCGGGCTGGCTGTCGCCGACCAGGTCCATGTAGGCCGCGGCGCCGGCGCCGCCCGGCTGCCCGTTGGAGGGCATGAGGTAGTCATCCTCGTCCAGCGGGAGGTGCAGCATCATGCCGCCAACGCTGGCCGGGTGGGCCGGTGGCGCACCGCCGGGGGGCGACTGCCAGCCGCCCGAGGCCGGCTCGAAGCAGTCGTCGTCGCCCATCTCGTCTGCGTGCAAGGGCGGAGGCGTTACACAGAAGGACAGGGAGGCGACAGCGAGACGGATGGTAGTGAGACATGATAAATATGCCACGTGAGACAAAGACGGTGGGACATAATAAATGCGCACACACTCGAAACAGATGACAGTGTCTGGGTCAGGCAAAGCTGCCGGCTTCGGAAGTGCAGTCACAGGAGACAGGCTGGCCGGGTGAGTTGGTGTTACCAAGTATTACCAGACTGCAGATCCGGGGGCGTAACCTTGATACGGCTCTAACACACACTCGTCGGACTCGACATCCACCGAGACTGCCCGCCAGACGTATCGGCAGTCCGACCGCACACACACCAGCGCACCCTCGCGCCAGACAAAACCCATCACCGTCCGTGTCAGGAGCCAACCGTAGTGAGCCAGCCCCATCCCCCCTCCCCCCCCCCCCCCCCCGCCTCCATCCAGCCACACGTCTCCAACGCATGCTCGCCGTGTGCGGCGGTCACCAGCCGCACGCCGCAAACACACTGGCCTCTCACCGAGCGAACGTAGCAGCGTGTCGCCGTGGTGCCGGCCCGAGGAGCCGGCCGAGCCGGCGCGCCGCTTGCCGGCCTCCTCGTGCGTGTGTCGGCGCTCGCGGGGCCCGCCGGCGCGGCCGCGCAGCCCGAAGTAGTCGGAGCCGTCGTCGAGCGTCGCCTGCGAGGAGGCCGGGTACGGCGCCGACGGGAAGCCGCCCACCGAGCCCGGCGGGTTCAGGTACTCGCTGGCGTTGATCAGCTCGTCAGTTGGGCTGTCCAGCGCCGAGGCGGCCAACCGCCGGATCAGATCACGCTCGTCCTGCGGGGGTGGACGTGTCAGCGATTACACCCCGCACGATGAGATGGATTCGTCTAAACGCGCCGGCCCGACATTGAAAAATATCATACCTGTGATTAACTTGCCAAAAAGCGACGGGAAAAGGCAGCTGTGTAAGCAATTTGCATTTGCCGTGATAGTCAGGAGCAACTGAACTACTCGGCTACGACAGAACATCGCACGTAACCGCGTAAAACACAACGCCAACATATGAAGCTGAGTTTTGAGAGCAGTCGACTGTTTGCGTGCCAGGCGTTGCCCCGCGTCCGGCCACGGCTCCGCCGTCCACCCCAGCTGAGAGGCCCGCCGCCGCGCCGCCACGCTGGCCGGGTGGCGGCCCGTCAGCAATGAAAGGGACAGCAGCTCACCTGCTTTGAGTAGGACGGGAGCCGCATCAGCCTGTCGCCGTGGATGACCAGGTACCGCCCCGGGTCACGTGACATCTTGGCGAACTCGTCGGCAAGCTCCTTGAAGTTGGGACGCGAGTCAGCGTCCAACATCCAGCACTTGATCATGATCATGTAGACCTCGATGGAGCAGGAGGGCGGCTGCGGCAGGCGCTCGCCCTTCTCCAGCAGGTCGGGCACGTCCTTAGCCGGCACGTCCTCGTAGGGCCGGCCGCCGTACGTCAGCAGCTCCCACACGGTCACGCCTACCGGACGATACGCCGCGTCAGTGGGGCCGGTTACCGTCCAAGGTCAAGGACAGCGTCATCGCGCGGCAGTCACTGGTGTGACCGGCGAATCGTGCCATGTTAAGAGAGTGGGCCTGAAATCGGCAGTCACCTGTCGCGTCGTCATGTTTAGGACAAAGCCACCATAGCATCAGTAGTGAGGTACTTCAGACGCCGGTAGTCATCACATACAGTCACAACAGGTGCCAAGGGCTTTGAATGTAAAATTCTGTGTGTGCCCGGAAATGATGACGTTCCAAAACGCCCATTCGTGAAGATGACCGCGTCCGCGCTCCCGTCGGGCTCTTAACCGCACACTCCTGTCTGACTCTTAACTGCACGCTCCAGTCGGGCCTCTAACTGCACGCTCCAGTCGGGCTCTTAACTGCACGCTCTCGTGGAACCCTTAACTGCACGATCCTGTCGGGATCTTAACCGCACGCTCCTGTCGGGCTCTTAACCGCACGCTCTCGTCGGGCTCCAACTGCACGCTCCAGTCAGGTCTCTAGCCGGACGCTCCAGTCGGGCCCTAACCGGACGCTCCAGTCGAGCTCTAATCGGACGCTCTCGTCGGGCCCTAATCGGACGCTCCTGTTGGGCTCTTAATCGCACGCTCTCGTCGGGCCTCTAACCGCACGCTCCAGTCGGGCCCTAACCAGACGTTCCAGTCGGGCCTCTACCCGCACGCTCCCGTCGGGCTCCTAACCGCACGCTTCCGTCGGGCCCCTAACCCACGCTCCTGCCGGGCCCCTAACCGCACGCTACCGTCGGGCCCCTAACCGCACGCTCCCGTCGGGCCCCTAGCCGCACGCTCCCGTCGGGCCCCTAACCGCACGCTCCCGTCGGGCCCCTAACCGCGGCGAGCTTCAGACCGACGCCACTCACCGAACGCCCATACGTCGCTCTTGTGGTTGAAGATGCGATGCTGGATGCACTCGAGCGCCAGCCACTTGATGGGCATCTTGCCGCCGGCCGCCTTATACTCCTCCTCGTTGATGTCGAGCAGCTTGGCCAGCCCGAAGTCGGTGATCTTGACCAGGCAGGGGGTCTGCACCAGCACGTTGCGCGCGGCCAGATCGCGGTGCACCAGCCGCCGCTCCTCCAAGTAAGCCATGCCGCGCGCGATCTGCGTGCACCAGTTCAGCAGCGGCTTGCTGCCGATTTTATCGCGGTTGTTGCGCACGTAGTCCACGAGACAGCCGAGTGGCATCAGCTGCGTCACCAGCATCATCTGCGACGTCATGCAGACAGCCAGCAGCGGCAGCAGGTTCGGGTGGTCCAGCGACGCCATGATGTACGCCTCCTCCAGAATCTCCTTATTAGTGTCGGCGCCCGTGTCCTCGCGCAGGACCTTGATCGCCACCGGGATCTTGACGTTGCCGTCCTCCGGGACCCAGACGCCGCGGTAGACTGTGCCGAACGCGCCGAAGCCGAGGATGCCGCCCTTGCGCAGCTCCGCCTCCTTGACGATGCGCAGCTGCGCCAGGTTCGGCTTGACGTTGGTTACCTTGAGCGGCTCGTTGAGGCCCTCCTTGTTCATCAGCATCGCCATCTTGAGCAACTCCTCCTTCTTGCGGTCGCTACGGCACTTGCAGACGATGCACACGATCACAACCAGTAGCACGAAAACGGTGACGAAGACGGAGACGATGACGATGGTGATGCTCTCCTCGGCGCTGTAGGCGGCCAGCGCGCTCGGCTCGTCCGAGCAGTACGGATCGTCCCCGTTCTCGAGAAAGATCTTGTGCGGGTGCGAGTCCGGACAGTGTGCCGTACAGTTGAAGGCCGATCCATTCTCGGTGGCCGACGAGTCCTGCAATGAATGGGGCATACAGGCTAATGCGCTAGCCGGGCATACAGGCTAATGCGCTGGCCAAGTTGTGCCACACACACACAGAGGTGCTGCTTGACAGCCGCCGTTACCTGTGCCTGGTAACGCCTGAGCCTGTCAGACAGTGTGCCCCCATTGACACGGTGGGACTAAAGCTGAGGCCAAAGCACCCACCACTGGAGCAAATCACAGCACTTTAAGCTCCGCAACTGCCAACTACGCACAACTCCAGGGTGTTCAGACGGGGGGGGGGGGGGCAACTCGTACCGCCACTGAGGCTGCGGATCATTGCCACCAAGAACGCCATCTCGTTGAGGGTCACGTCATGTCGCGCTCGATGACGTGATCATGGTGGCGCGCCATGGTCCCTGGCGCGTGGCGGCTGCCCTCACCAGGTAGATCCGGTAGTTCCTGCAGGTCTTGCAGCGCTGGCCGGGGCCTGTGCAACCACGACACTCGGACGCGCACCGCACGCACTCGCTGGTCTGCTCGTTGGCGTAGAAGTCGTCGGGGCAAGCGTCCTCGCACTGCTCGCCGTTGCGGTAGTGCAGGCACTCTTGGCACACATTCACGTGGAAGCTGGCGGGCAGGAGCAGAGGCGTCAGGCGCTCCGAGGCGTCAGGCGTCAGGCGTCAGGCGTTAGGCGCCGGCAGGGGGACCACTGACCGCGGTAGCTTACTGACTGGCTGAGCGGTTCATCCGCTCCACGAGCCAGTGATCCCTGGTGACGTGTTTCAAGATGCCGTGCGCCCGCACCAACCAAAGTGCGTTCCATGATTGACCATACAAAGCGCACAAAAGGTTACGGAAAGGTTATGTATGAAGCTGGCAGCGTTAAGGAAGTGACATCTTTATATGTCGCCAAAATACTGACAAACCGAGATGCTGAAAAATTCGAGCGAAGTGTTGCACTAAAACTGCAAGTAACCCCATGGGCACCGGACAGGAGGTCAGTGCTTACCCGAAGCCTGTACAGTTTTTGCACCGCTCGTGACACTTGCGACATATTCCTTTTCCAGCTAGGGCCTTGAGCGGCCCCTGCTTCTGAGGCCCGACAAACTCGAAGTAGTGACCGACCGGACAGGATTCATTGGCATTCAAACATCGTTCCTGGAAGCAAACAAACAACGTTATACAAATGAATAAACCAAAAGCAAGCACACACAATACAAACACACACAAGCAAGTAAGACATTGTCAGCGGGGATGTCCTGTGACCTTATCACCCCAGGGCTGACGCGCCGGGATTAATGACAGCTGTCACATGGTTGTCGCCGTCCCGCCAAGGACTTCTGCTGTCTTCTGCTGCACATGGCAGTTGACAAGCTCTTCTGCGCCGCTCCCATGATATAACCGGAGACTGATGACCGATTGACAGCAAGTGGCGACAATCAGCCGACCGCGCGGTTCGGAAAGCCTTCAGGATGCTTTCATGTTCAACACCGCAACGACTTTGGCAGGCTTTATACGTGCACCTCTTGGGATTCAAAAATAGCTTGTTAGGACAAATGCCTCCATCGGATAAGCTGATGCAACCCTTGCAGCCTTAGTAACTGCGGATCGCCGCCTTGCAGCTAATCTCCTTCCCAGCGAGTGTCAGCGTTCAGCTCACTCACGTCATCGACCCTCTGCTCTTCAACAGCCGCCGCTGTCCCCCTGACGCCCCCGGCTGGACGCACTATTACAAACCGAGATATGGTAGGAATATCACTCCACGTCCTATTCAGGTATCTACATGAAAAAACGCGTGAAGACGGAAGTTGTGAAAACGCTCGGTTGCCGACGACGAACGGTCCCAGTCTGGAGTAGTGAATATTGATCACAATAAGTGATTTAACCAGGGCTACAAACGGCTGTAGGATGACTTCGGGCCCCGCTGTGACCGGCCACTAGGCCAGCGCGGTGGGTGTGAAACACAGCACCGTACACACGCGCACTGGCCCGCAGTTGCAGTTGTGCCGTACAGTTGCATGGCCCCCGACCCGGGCGGTGTACAGTGAGCGTGAGCTGCTGTCCTGTACGAACGCCGGTACTCAGTGGTGAACGCGGCCCCCCGTCGCGTACAGGAGCGGTTTCCGCGCACCGTTGCGGCCTCGGCCGACGCAGCCCGGAGCCCACGAGCCGCGCACGTGAGCGTGGCCCGCTGCCGGCGGCAGGTCGGCCGGCGGGCCGGCTATCGGGCGCGATCGCGGCGGCCTGAGTGGCCCCGCCCGCCGGCCGGCCGCCCCGCCCAGCCCCGCCCGATGGGCGCCGATACCCGGCCGTAATGGATGGCTGAGCACAGCAGGACGCGCCGCGCGCCCGCATCACAGGCGAGCCCCCCGATGATCCAGTGGAAGCCGTGTGATCTGGTCTGGCGTCTGGGAAGCGGGCTGAGCCACTTGTCACTTTGTGTCAAATGCTGCCCAGTTTCTTGTCAAATTAGGTGATCGTTCATTGCGTGCTTCAGATCCTCGAGATACTCTCTCCGAATCACAAAAGGCTGTGTGAACCGACGCATCTGACTCGTCACAGAGGACGACGCATGGAAAATTGGCCAAGTACTTAAAACATGTGTGTTGGGAATGTGTTGCTACCAGATCCGTTGCGGGAACATTCCCCCCCCCCTCCTCTTCGAAAAAGCGCGCATCCGTGATCCTGGTCGGAGAATGCGCCATTTGATGCATTGAGGAACTTGTCCCCACCGCCCTTATCCCCCTCTCCCGCCCACTTATGGCGAAGTGGGAGCTCACCATTCCAGCCTTGCCAGTTATTGCATCAGCTTTAGCCTGAGCTGTCTGCGGTAAATATTTGTCCTTCCAACAAGTCACCCGGCTTTCCTTCAAGCACCAGTCTTCGGCCTTCCCGACATACTGTTGCGGTATGTGAACATATGGGTCTTGCATCCAGGATTGAAGCCAATCCGTCAGCATCCCAGCAAAATATACCCATCCTGTCGCCTTAGTCCAACAGACCATAAAAAACGATCGGTTCAGAAATACTGCGGACTGTGAAAGGCGGCGTCAGATCACACAGCCTCCGTCGTGATAGGTGAATGACAGCTTACAGCGACCGTCGCATAGTGTGCAAACCAAAGCCCTCGTCACCGCTTCAAGGTCAGCTCCACTGCCTGTCGTGAGCCAAACTGACCCTGAACTGCGCCGCCATGCTGTCGGCGCGCAACAGCATAACAGCTACTGGCACGGGCAAGCTCGCAACACCTCGGAAGACCACACAAGCTGAACTCCCGCAGCAGTTCCAACATTGTAAAGCGGCGCTGGCCGATCCTGAACAACACGGGGACGCAGGTGGCCGCACGACCTCCCACAAATGAAGGAAGAAGACGCGCCAGTCCCCGTTGATACAACAGAGCTAACAGATCGAGCTAACAGACCGTGAGATTCGCCACGGGACCACCAAAGAACACCGATGACAAAGAACACCGAGGAAGACTCGCTACCCGCTCCCCTTGACAACGTCACACTCGTCAGCTGGGCAAGCGGCCGGCGCAGTCGCTTCAATACCACGCTACCGCCTACGACATGGCCGAGCTCGCCACTGGGCGGTGTCACTCACCACGTGGCCGCGCGGGGTCAGGATAGCCACCTGGCAGCTTCGACAGCCGCCCTCTCCGACCGTGTTCAGCGGGCCCGTGCAGCCTCCCTCGCAGTTCGCGTGGCAGGGGCTGCAGTCGCCGGACGCGTTGTACTTGGTGTCGGGGCACTGCGCCACGCAGAACGGTCCGTCCTTGACGTTGCTGCAGCGCTGGCAGTTGTCCGGGCCGGCGCCCTGGCACGGACCGTCGCACTCCTTGTGGCACAGGTCGCACGTGCTGTTGGACGACTGGTACATCCTGCGGCGCGGGCACCCCAGAGTGAGGGTCCGCCGGGCGGCAACGGACGCCCGATGAGCCAGGGAGAATGGGGCGCCGGTAGGTCAAACGGCGGCGGCGTGAGATGGTTGAGGAGAGCACGGTCTGAATCAGATAAGGGAAATGGTCTCCAGAGGGTACCCCGGATGTTGATATTTTTAAGAGACAAGGGCATCTAAACAGAGTTGTGTCGCCAAGGCGTCAGGGGTATATGGCAAGGGGCAGGGTCGTTCTTACATTGTCCATTTGGTCCTGGCAGGGGGACGCCTCTCAACGCAGCGCGCGACACAGGAACAGACAGGCTACCAATTTTGAAGCGGCGCGCACTGGGACAAACAGCCAGACCTTCTCGCTGAACGCTGGCTAATGACACTTACCCTAAAGACTTGTCGCATGCCTGCACGCAGCGGGCGCCGACCTTAAACGCTCGACACTGGAGGCAGCTGCCAGGTCCGGGACCCCAGCATCCGTCGGAGGTGCACTGGTCGTCGCACACCATGCCGTCCCGAGCTGAAGACGAAAAGGTGCCGGTCAGACGTGAGCGCGCCGACTGGATGAGGCGGTCCGTGCTCATCCCAGCTCGAAGTGTCTTGGTGCGTGGATATGGGTATTTAGGTCTTGAACATCACAGCGCTCGACGCTATTCCTTTTCAGTGTCGCACATGCAACTCGTAAAAAGCCGAGTTGGGCAAAGGCAATGCCTAAACATACGGCTGTGAAAGATGTCACTTAGCCATCATAAGACGTGTGACAATTACACGCGCAACATACAATAATTTTCCGTAGCATGCTTTATATTCGACTGTGCCGTGCGTCAGGCTCAGCTCCTTAGTACCGCGCATTGCACGCTTACCGCAGTCAGAGGCGTTCCTGTTTGTTTCGAGCACCACGCCGTAGGAGGTCTTCTGGTGAGACTTCTGGCCACTGGAGATAAATGACTGCCAGTTAATGCCGTCTGCGAAGCAGAGCCGTTCGTTCTCCGCTATGAACACACCACCGGAGCGGATCTTCTTCAGGGCGGCCAGCTTCAGCGACTCGAGCGACGTTTTGACCACGTACAGCGCAAAATACTCGTGCAGGAAGCGGCCGCCGATCACCTCGAGCCGGCGCAGGAAGCCCAGGTCGCGGAAGTCGACGTGGGAGCCGTCGATGTAGATAAAGCCCGTGATCTCGCGCACCGTGCTGAACACCTGCAGGCGGCGAGGGTGCAGCTTACTGTAGTGCGGCCCGAACGAGTAATTCTCGTAGATCTCCTGGTAGCCGTCGAACGAGTGCTGCAGCACCTTCAGCGAGCCTTGCAGGATGGTGCAGTTCTTGAAGCGGTCGATGTTGCCGGCGTGGATGATCTCGTTCTTCCCCACCTCGCATGTCTTGGGACAGGGTCCGTTACAGGGCATACACTCGCCCGAGACAGCCTTCTTGTTAGGCGGACAAGCACGCACGCACGCGCTGCTGTCCTTGAGCAGGTGTTCGGGACACTCGCGCACGCACGTGGCACCGTAGGCATACTTGCCGTTCGGGTTCGTCTCCCACGAGTACGTGATGGAGTTGTACCGGTTCATGGACGGACACTCCTGCTTGCAGACGCCGTTATCGTAGAAGTTGCGACAGGCGAGGCAGTCGGACTGTGTGGGGCCGTCGCAGCCGCCGGCGCAGAACAGGTGGCAGCACTGGCGCGGCTCCGGACCGAAGCAGCGGCCGCCGTGGCACTGAGGCGAGCAGTTGATCTTGCTGAGCCGCTGACAGTTATCGGCGCCGGGCCCCCAGCAGCCGCCCTCAGGCGGGCACGACTCGTGGCACTTTGAGCAGTTGCGCTCCGGCACGGTGAAGTTGTACACGTACACGAAGTCGGTGCCCGGCCCGGTCAGGATCTCGTCCCAGTTGATCGACTTGATGTGGCACAGGTTGTAGTTGTTGAACATTCCAGCGCTCCCTGCCAGGATGTCTGCCGGCAGGAGCGCGAGCGGCGTCAATACTGGTGAGCGGCTGAGCTGGCGCCACTAGCTCACTGGCACGCGTTTGTGACTGCAGGGCTTACGAAAAGGCACCCTGCAAGCATGTGCTACCCGGTTCGAATGCCTCCGGGTCAGCCCAATGATCATGTCGGATGCAGCGCCGTCAAGAGCCCCTGTCGTCACGGCAAGAAGAGAGCCCGGCCCACACAAACCGCACGCTTCTGTTGAACGGTGATCACCTGTTGAATGTGGCAAACAGGAATAACGGCCGCCGACATACACGAACGAAAAATTTGGCGTCACGACACAGGATTAGGCCATGTCCGCCCCGGGTTGTCCCCCAGGTCGCACCCTCGTCTGCCCCCGCAATTCTGTTTGATGACCGCCAGGTGACCTTGGCAGCTGGCGCGGCGTCAGCCCCGCCGTGAGCCGATAAGAGAGCGTTTTGTCCGTTTTATCAGCGGGACGTCGGATGATCGGGACCGGGTCAGGCCGGGTGGCAGGACCTTCGGCCGACACGAATACGGCGACGTGGCGCTCTCACCTCGGAGCGCCGGCATCTCTATGTTCATCATCTTCGACATGGTGATCATCAGGGAGAACTGCTCATCGCGGACGTTCAGCCTGAAGAGCGTGCGGCCGCGGATGATCTGCAGCGAGGGCAGCACCAGCCGCTGCACGTCCACGTACGCGATCAGCACGTACCCGGTCACCTGGAGGACGTGCGGCAGCCGTCAGAGGTCACGCACGCGCCCTGCCAACTGGCAAACACAGCACGCGATAGAGGTCACTAGCAGACACCGTCACCCGGCAAACACAGCACGCGTTAGAGGCCACTAACAGACACCGTCCCCCGGCAAACACAGCGCGCGTTAGAGGCCAATAACAGACACCGCCACCCGGCAAACACGCCTCACACGCGTGAGGGCAGCCAACAACGCACGTCGGAGGTCAGTCACGCATTCTCGTCACCCGCAAACTAAAGGTACGCGCCTCAAGGTGTCCGGCGGTGTGGTCCTGCGGAAATCCAAAAGTCACGTGTACTCCATCCTTAGCGGGCAGTCTACGACGAGCTATCGAACACCGCTGCAGCCATCTCGAGTTCGCTGAGCGGGTCAGCTGAGGCTTGGTGTTTACCAAACGATAGGTCAGCCACCATAGGCGAAATTGAACAAGATGGTCAACCAGCAGATATCGCAATGCAAACATGATGAGATGCTCCGGACATACGCCTTGACCTCATGCAACCCATCATCATGGCTGTTGTCACGATAGCAAGATAGCACCTCGAAGGCTGAGGAAACCGCCAACATGGTCTCGACTTCATAGATAAATTAGAACATAATTTTCATGGCAAATGCAATACTGCTGTAATGGTTCCAGACTTTCAATGGTCAGGCAAATTACAGATTTAGTCTTAAAGTAGTTCGATAACGCTTATGCAAAATGGCGTAGCGAAAAATACGAGGAAAAAACGGCAGGCACGTGCGGGTCTCTTGACATGAAGTCACGCAATTACTTATCATCACTCGGACCGGACCCATGACCATAGAGTGCCACCGTAACTGGCTTGCTCAGATTAAACCGAATGCATTCTGTCACGCACTGTACCCCAGACATAGGCCATGCGTGGGAAATACAGCTTACACGAACTGCATTTTGTCAAGCACTGTCCCCCTTGACCTAGGCCATGCGTGGGAAATACAGCTTACATTAAGTGTATTCCGTCAAGCACTGTCTCCCTACACAAATGTCATGCGTAAGAAATATAGCTTACGTGAACTGCATTCTGTCAAACACTGTCTTCCTAGACATAGGCCATGCATGGGAAATACAGCTTACATGAACAGTAGGGGCTCAAACATTTTGGAATGAAAATAATGTCAAAGATTGGAATGGTTGTCGTGAATGACATGGATACAAAGCTTTCATGAACAGTAAGTAGTCGCATATTTCATTTTCTCAGCACCCTTTCACTGTCCCTCTGTCGACACCGCTCCTCGTGACCAGCACGCAACAGCCATCTCGTGCTACAAGTTTGTATTGACCGTACTCATTGGGGAGCATCCGCTGGGGTGTTTTGCACAACCGCCGCGGGACGAAGAGACGGCGGCCGCCGTGTGGGGCTCCCCACGGCCGTCACCCCCCCCCCCCTCCCCCCCTCCCGGGTCACGGGCTGCCCCGGCTGGTCCTGGACACGCTCCAGCCGACCGAGTCAACACTCCAGACATGCTGAGTCAAAAGGCGGCTATACAAATCCCGGTATGCCAACAGGACACTCTCGGCCGTACATACGGGAGCGGCTGACTGTGCCTCCACATCCCGACGGAGGTATAGTCCCGACACAGACGTGGCCGCGCGCGCGTGGTCAATACATAGCCACATGACGTGCCGCGGAAAGCTCACCGGCATTGCATGTTGTTGTGGTAGTTGGTGTAAGGCACGCGCGTAGCGACAATTTTCGTTACATGTGGGGGCCACATTTCAAATTTGTTCCAATTTCTACGAGTTTGGGCCGAATTTCTGCGAAATAGCCCGGCATTTAGCGTAAACCGATTGGCTCAGGGTGAGGGGGTATGGCCCCGGGACCCCCCCCCCCCCTTGGCGACGTCCCTGATGAAAAGCAACCAAGCCTGCCTCCCTCGAATGCTCCAAAGTGGAGACATCCATCTTGCACCGAAGTGCTCCTAAAACTACGCGTAACCCAGTGAATACAATTCAGCAGCGCTGGCATAATACTCCGTCCAGCATCGCTGGCACCAAATTCCGTCTAGCAGAGAGCACCTGAAATGACCTGCTATGAGACACAGCAGCTGCCGTGTCCACCAATCAGCGGCGGCGCTGCGTCATCGCGGCCCCCGACAGAGCCCGCACCTTCGCCAGTGGTTGGCCGGCAAGACGCGGCGGCGCCGGTGGCTGCGGCGGCCTACGGCGGCCGTGGCTCTCGGGCCGCGACACGGCCGTTCGGCGCACCTGCCGCTCGCCACCGGCCGATTTAGTGGCCACGTGTCCCGCAGCTCGGTCCTGGTCCGGCACTCAGAGACTCGCGCATCGCTCTCGCTGCGGACAGGCGGAGATGGCTGCTGACGGCATCGCTGATCACGGCACCCAGCCAATGGCTGCTGACAGCATCGCTGATCACGGCGCCCGGCCAATGGCTGCTGGCGGCATCGCTGATCACGGCGCCCAGCCAGCCAGGCGTTGAAAATCCCGTATGCCGTCAGCGGTTATCAGCGTTTGATCACGGCGTGCTCAGGCGGCCGGTGACTGTTTGCGAGGGTGACGCTGCTCGCCCCGGCTCTCGTCCGCCTTCGCTGGCCCTGGTTGAATTTGCATTTTTGTTCTTGCAGCATTAGCCATGCAATTGGTAATCGCCGAAATGCATGGCGAGCCATGCGGCTGGTGTAATGCATGAGTCGAGTCGTGGTGTCTGAGGGCCGAGGCATATGAGTCACGCCCTGCTCGGAATTCCTCTCGTGTGATATAGCTCCACCACGTGGCTGACATCACTACATCAGTTCCTAACTCATGTTAATACAGCATAAGCCTGTTTGGGCGGGTTCAGGTTCACTGCAGCCGTCACTAGCACCTTTTGATCGAAGCGCAGTGCAGTTTCCTCGGACGTAGATCATTTCATCTGCCTCAGATGGGCAGTTCTCGCTCCAGTCAGCACCGACAGCCGCCGTCAGCTCGGCGCGGACTGACATCCCCACGCCAACACCGACAGCTGTCATCACGTCCGCAACAGCAGCTACCGCCAACTCAGCGGCCGCAGCTGCACCGGCTGAGAGCCTCGACAGCTGTCAGCGCCTCACCCCTCACCGTCGCTCCGACCGGCCGGGCCCGCTCGCCGTCCGACAGATGGCGTCTGCCTGGTCATCCTAGTGAGGACGGCCCGACAGACCTCTGCCGGGCGCGTCTTGGCGCGAGGCGGCCGCGCGGCAGTCGGGCCCGTCGGCCGCACCGGCACAGTGCGCCGCGCAGCTCCGCGCCACGGCAGCGGCGCAGCCCACCGGCCTCGGGCGGTAACGCGCAGAGGGAGGGCAGACGGCCAGAGTCGGCGTGAGGCGGGCCGTCGGAGGCGCGGACGCGGCGCCGTGCAGCGAGCAGTCGAGGAAAGCCGCGACACCACAGGACGGCGGCTTCCGGCAAAACGCGCCGGCTCGCAATGGGGCAAACACTGCCGCACGGGAAGCCTGCTCCGCAGTATGACAGTGGACCACACAGAGCGAAAAAGAGGCCGAAGACGGACGGAGAGGCGCTAAAGGGACAGAGCCCTCGCCCCAGAAGGTCGCCGGACCACACGGTGGAGCCGAGCAGCACAGATAGCCAGCGCAGAGCGCTGAGGAACGCTTGGCGTGGCCGCCTCCGCCGCCGCCGGCGTTGGACGCGCCCCGGCCCACATTACACGCCGCTATCGCGGAGCCATCTGGTTCATAAGAATTTAATTTGCTACGCAATCAGCGGCCGCCCGTTTGCAACGGCCGCCCGTGACGTCAGCCGTGACGTCACGGGCGAAGTCGAGGGCGGGAGTGAGTGGGCGAGGGAGAGAGCGAGTGGCGGCCGCCGCCACCGGACATGGTACGGCCGGAGCCGGCCGGCGCCGGCGCCACCGCTGCGTCCCGACCGCGGCCGGGGCTGCAGTAATTGCACGCCAGGCCGGTGGCCGACGTGACGCCGCTTCTGTGGCCGTGTAATCCGGCCGAATGCACGGACCGGCGCCGGCCGGGCCGGCCGGTCCAGAACAAAGCGGCCGGCCGGGCCAGCCTGGCGCCGTGCAGCGGACGTCACGGTGCTGCCGAGGACTTGGGGAGCTGCTGACATGTTCCCCCACTGCTGAGGGCGACACTGTTGAGATGACTCCACAGTGCTGTACTGAGGACCTCGCCGCTCAACGGAAAGCATCACTCCTCTGACCACTGCAGTCTAACCCGCGTCGCCAGTTGACTGCCGTCACCACAGAACCGCTGACGTCACCACCCAGCTGCTGAGTTCTAACTCAACTGGTGGCATGGCCGACCTTACTGTCGGCGTCATCGACCAACGACAGACAAGAGCCTAACCGGAGACCTCATCCAGCTGCGCTGGTTCAGTGCAGTTGCGGTGCTGACGTCAGTTCCGTCCCGCGTGCACATAACGAAAACAGACTCACCCTCTTTTCCTCCGGTGAGCCAGGACATAAATACGGTGCAAAAGCCTCTCACGACTTTCCAAACTGCGCTGCACTGTCTCCTAATCAAAGATGTTTTACAGCGGAACACAGCGCCCACTCGCGCGTCTCTTCCGAATTCTTGGAATGAGCATCATGGCATTAGTTAAGCTGAGAACCGGACTCGGGACCAGAAAACCCTACACATGCTGTGAGGGGCAGCACTCCGCGGCAGCTCTCGTGACAGCCAGCTGAGGGCCGGCATTCCGACCTCCCCCTCCCCCTCCCCCCTCCCAACGGCCTACACAGGGCGGCGCTCCTAAAGCGGCCCCCACTTTATCCACCGGAGACGGACTGGCAATCAGCACCCCTCACCGCCCCGCGAGAACCAGCAGAGGCAACGCCCGCCGTCGCTCCGCACCGCTCAGCTGGCTGTCTCGGCTGACCACCCGCGGCGACGCGGCGGCGACGTACAAGTCGCGGTCACGTGACCCGGTCGCCAGCTGGCGGCGGTGCGGGCGCGAACGGCGTGCAAGGTCAGGCGCGCGCTCGGCCGCCGTGCAGCCGCGCGCCGCGTCCGCGCGGCCGGCACGCATCTGTCGCCGCGGCGCCAACGGACGCCGTTCGAAAGCGTCCCCCCGGCGGGGCCCGCCGGCCGAGCAGCAGCGCTTGTGGGCACGCGATGTGACACGCAGAGCGGAGACTGGTCGCCGTCTCAGGGCTGGCCATTTCGAGTTTGAACAGGCTCAGTAGATGCGTTGGTGAGGGCACAAGGAAGGCCAAACGTCTGGTCCTATTTGAAACGCCAGAAAGTCTCCTGGACAACGCACACAGGGGGAGCATCAAATGGATGGAGGTTCACCGCGGTAATATTTTGAGACGCCGACTGTCCTCGTCAGTGACATTTCTTCCACCGCGCTAGGATTTAGGATCTGCTTTCGCGCGGCCTCGCGTTTGACCGTGTCTTCCACTTGACGCATTAACGGGTACTTCTGTCTGCTGCAATCTGAATCACTGGCGTGACAAACCACCCCGACTCTCAGCCGCGGGCGCGACCTGACCCGCCCGGCCAGGCAGCCTCGAGCACCGCCTGCACTGACCTCTCGAATGTACTGCAGGAAGCTGAGGTCCAGTCCGTTGTCCTGCAGCCAGGTCAGCTCCAGGTTGCCGTCCACATACGTGCAGTTGGTGTAGCGGTCGCGCAGGTTCTCGTAGTGGGTAGTGCGGTTACCCGGCACGGACATGCGCCCGCTCGTACCGATACAGACTGGAAAGAGGGTACCGAGTGTCAGGCGAGTCTTTCCGCCGATCCGGAGGGCACTGAGCGTCAGGCGAGTTTCTCCGCCGATCCGGAGGCAGAGTCCACTGCGGGCATGAGCTGTGTCGGCAGTCGGTGAAGCCGACGAAGAACAGCTTGCCCACACGACACGCCGTTCAGTGCGTTCCAAACAGACTGGAAGAACAGCACAGACGTTGTCAGATGCGTCCGCCTGTTTGCCCCGTACAGAGCCTAGAACAAAGGCACGAGTGACGACGGACGGGCCAGAGAACATAGGCGACAGGACCATTTCCCGTCGTGCCAGAGAACATGGGCACACGGGTCGTGTCGGGTCCGCGGCGCCCGAGTCGGGGGGCGGGGGCGGGACGGGGCGGAGGCGGACCGACCAGATCCCGACCTGCCCGGCAGCGGCAGCGTTCAGCGGTGACGAGACGGGAGCGCCGCGTCGGTGCGACGATCGCGACTAATGCGCCAGACGCGGCACGGTGGCGGCGGCCGCGGCGCAGCGGCGGCCAGGTGGCCACGGCCGCGCCGCCGGCCATGTTAATCGGCGCGCCAGGACGGCCGATCCGTCACGTGGTGCCGTCGGGCGGCGTCCCGGCCAGCGCCCAGGGCGGGCACGGCGCGGCAGAGGCCAGGCTTCCACTCCGAGGGCCCAGCGCCGCTGAGAGGAGCCGCTCGAGATGACAGCGCGCGGGCGTTCTGTCACGCTCGAGCTCAAGGACTGCAGCTGAGAAGTGGTGTGCACAGCTTAGAAGTGGTGTGCAAAGTGCCAGTGGTGGTGGAGGGAGATCAGTGCATGGGCACGCAATTATGACTATGCGTTTGGGCCAAAAATTGGATTCGATTTACGATACTTTTACCACTTTAACGAAAGACCTGAATCATATACATGCATACGTATGTGGTTAACTTCTACTCTTCAGCAAATGAACTGTACACCGTAGAAGTAAGGCTCATTGGCCGAAGCTTTTACCGCTCAGAGCTGTGATCTGTCATATCAGTTAGCCAGTCATATCAGTCAGCCACTTCCTAGCAGTCCCTACGCGCTGCGCCTAGACCTGGCGATGACGAAACTGAGCTCGTCAGGCGAGCCTGAGTAATTCAAATATGCGTATAAACAGTAGCACATCCTTTTACATGCGTCATTACAAACAAGATTAGACCCATAATTGCAGTGAGCTCTTCAACACGCTGGTTTCATGGCTCCAGAAGTCACTGAAGTTCAGTCGCTTGGACCATCGTTTTCGTCTGGTGTATTAGTTGTTTGGGATTTTGTCCTCATCTGGTGTATTAGTTGTTTGGGCTTTTGTCCTCGTCTGGTGCGTCAGTTGCCTAAGCTAATGTTCTCGCCTGATGCGCTAGTATGCACGCCATGTTTTCGCAAGTTAACTATGTTGGTCTCGTCAGCTGTTATTGAGTCCTAGGAAGGAATGGATGGCGCTTTGCCTTCAGCCATGCATGCGTCACACCCCGAACTGACTCCTTTAATGTTGCTGTGATTCGAACCGGGGTCTTTCAGTCACGAATCCAATGCTCCACCACCGAGCCAACTGGCAAGGGCACGCTGAGTGGTGGAGCGCTGGATTCGTATTCGGAAGATACATGTTGAAATCCCAGCAATTCCATGGATGCAACGCTTATAAGTTCGGCTTAAGGGCACGCACGGCCGAAAGCTCAACACCATTTAGTCTGGGACTCATCTATATCTCACGACAACCGGAAAAATTGGCTGACCGAAATGCCCTGCGCATGCCGACACATGACGCGAGGATGATGGTCCGAATACTTATTCCATTTAGGATACTAATGCCTCAACTCAAATTTCCGTAAACTACCAAGACCAAGACCAAGAAGTTCGCTTGCACATTTCCGACAAGATCGTGTAAAGCGACTGGGCTTGAAAACGGAAAGAGAACTCATGATAGTGTCGTACGTAATCATGTGCGCCGCCGATAGCTATGGCCTCGACAAACAAGGCCTGGAATTCGAGTGCAACACGTTATAACTGGTCATACCACAAAGTACCGAAGACTCTATGTTGAGGCATCAAGAGCTACCAAGCCAGATTCCTTGAAAATACAGCACCTATTCAGGGGTGTGAAAATGAACGATGCTACTAGGATAATGTTGTCCTACTATGTATTCTACAGAAGTGCCTATAATCTCATCGTGTATCATATTTTCGCCGCCAAAAAGCATGAGTGATTACCTAGCTCCACCGTGCGGAGTGTACAAGACACAGACCATCTGCCGTCATGCTATGCGGTTCTCGGTGTAATCCAAGTGGTTAAAGGCTTTTTGTCCGGCAAATATGTACGACTTCTTCGTCGGACACACATACCAGTGTTTTTGTCGACATTTCACCGGACGGCGGGAGGCTCCGCCAGCTCTCTCTCCCCCGCTGTTCCGAGCGACCACCGCGGACGGCGAGGTGCGCCCAGCGTGAGCATAGCCAGACAGCTATTACGCCTGAGAGAAGGCGATTTCGTCGCGATTCGCCGAGTCAAGCATGCCATTATGTTCCATGTCACTAGCTTTGCGAGGATTTCACGTGATCTCAGACAAGGAGAATGTGGCTACTAAATCGCTCGTGACAGACTTAATGATTGCGTGTATACATGCAGTATGATGATCAGATGGGATTGTCACGAGACACGAGGATGCCTGACGAAGGGATTCATTGCACGTCTGGGGACAAACAATGGTCATTTCAAGGAAACATTTATTCATCCCTGCTAACTCAAGATATCAGAAAAAGTGGTGGTAGTCTTTGGCATCATGGAGATGGAGCTCTTTAATAAAGGTGAGGCACGGGGTATGCTAAGATCCTATCATCAAGACCTACACCGATACTAAGGCCCAGTGCCAGTCTGTACCAGCACTCTGGCCCGCTGGTGCCGGGGCATTTCTCCGCCTTGCATTTCACGCCGATAGACAGATTCAAAAGCCAAGACATCTCCAGCTTGCATGAGCCCGTGCAATGTCATTTGTTGGCTTCTGGGTCACTAATGGACAACACTGGGCAAATGTCACAATGACAGAATTTCTCAACTGCACACCTATTTCAAATCAACAAGGTAATCCGACCAACCCAGCTGAAAAAGACGTCACGATGCCTTCTACATCCTGAATGCAATTTTGCTGACTTGAATATACTCCATGACAGTCAAAAGTCATGCGCTTCCATATGACGATCAGCTATACATGACGGCAAGTATACAATAGTTGTGATGTTACGGATTCTTAACCTAATAACAACTTGTTTTGACAAAGTAAAGGTACATTTTGGTTATTTAAAGATCATGAAGTGTCGGAAACTTACCAAAACCTTGAAACGGACACATCAACGGACCTAATATCTAAATGTGACATAACGCCTGGCGTATTCGCATACATGGAGTTCCAATGTGTTTCTATACCAAGGCTATGGTAGCCTTCGAAGATCAACACGTTGTGTCCTCTCTCAGTTACGCCACGACATCCCAGTGAGACACACCCTGTCTAAATTGTGTTAGTAGGTTTCCTTTTTTCATTCATCGTTCCGCTGGGGTCTGCTGGTGTCAAGTTGAACCGCATGCACCCGACGAGCTCCCATGTTTTGACACCGTTCGCCAGACACCCGTCGGAGAAGGTGAAGATGGTTGAATTCGTCATGAAATGGGTGTCAAACTATAAGCAAGCTGTGCATTTAGTATAGACAACCTATAAAGGTTGTGCACGCCTTTTTACGCCTGCACATACGGTTGTACAAGCGTAGATGCAGGCGTAAAAAGGCGCGCAGACCATAAGAGGCGTGAATATTTCACACCTAACTTTACGCAGCCATAGCACGTGCATTCTAAATCGCACGGACCACTGCAAAAAAGCAGCTGATAATGCACATCAGGCTGGTCCGTCCCGTTAGCTGGACTGCTCCAGTGGGTTGCCTGAGACGCAATGTGACCCCTCCCCCCTTCCACCTCAGTTCAGCGCATGCAAAAACGCCTGGATTGTTTTGCTCTCAAATTCACTAGCGTTTGCTTTCTCGATTAACA